GCTAAGTAAGCATCCAATCTAATCATATTTTGGTTTACAATAATGCGATGTACGAACTCAGGGTCGCCTAAACCCGCCAGCACGTTAGAACTGTAAACCCAGAATTAGCTAACTGATCTCCACAAAGGTAAAGATGCATTCAGGTCAGACTTGAGATTTGGTAAATCCATGGACTAGTCACTGCAGTTTCCTGAGCAACAATATTGTAGTAGTTTATTTTATTCCCATCAGGTGATTTTTTTAATTTCTCAATCTTGCTTAGCCCTCAAGTTCAGAAAAATAAACAATTAACTCTTTATTCTTTGTAGTCTTCAGTGTAGCATCTGCTTTCCGGTCTACTCCACTCTCCAAGGCGTTTGTCACAACTAGCAATCTCTGACAAATTCCTATTTGCCAAGCAAAGAAATTAAATTTTACTTTACTGCATAGTTGATTATTCACAGGTCATGTTATACCATGATGTAGTTTCTTAGATTTGTGGTTTACGGTGTGAATTCCAACCTGTTCTGGAATTAATGTAAAATAGTTAAAACTTCTCCAGTGGAAGATAAAATGTTGCAACAATTTCACAAAGTTCTGATTCATGAACTGCCCTGCAGAAAATTGAACTGCCACGTAAAAGAGCCCATGGCAGTTCCCTCTAAGTTTTTCCTTTGAATGGGATTGAAATGTGGGGAGTTAGCATAACTGCAAGACACTGGAGAGAGTACTATACAATGAAAAATAAGATGTTCACACTATCCCTTGAGCACCCCCTTACTACAACTTGTAAGAACTCCATAGTGATAATTCCTAAAAAAAATACATAGAGGAAAAATGTCTTTCTTCAAATGAAATGCAATATAAGGTTAATTTCCTTGGTGCTAATAAAAATGATTCAAAAGTGTGAATTACTGTCACAAAAACTGTAGACTATGCACTTGGGACCCTTAAGAAGTGTACAGATATGCTTTTGCTGTTTTCATTGCATCAAGTGATTCTGTCTTGCATGGCATTGTACCTGATGCAATGAAAGCTTAGTGTAGGATTTTTAATGATCAGAATGATCAGTCTCTCTCCCCCCCTTCTTCATCCTGTCAGGCTTAGTCAAATAGGCCAGAAAGAAGTATCCATAAAGATATTTATAAGATACCTACCACCATAACTTTTCTTGGATATCACTTTAATTATAAACTTGAGTTTGTAATGGTATATTATTTATTGTTATTGTTAAGACTTGGCACTCAGAAACTCTGAAGAAAGTAGTGCAAGAACACTGGGTGAAGAAATTGATCTTGTTTAAATAAAGCTCCAAAGGGCACAACAATTTCCCTGTACTTCCTTTAGTTTGACAGATGGGTGCCCTTTAGGGGTCTCATCAGAAGATGCCTATACCCATGTAGCCTGGAGGCATCCCTTGCTTGCAATTATTCTTTCTCTCCAACTCTCCCTCTTTGTGATGGTGCTCTGATTGTTTTGTCTGCCCCATTTGCATGGCAGGTGCAGGCTTCAACAGTGATTTTTAAACTTCAGGCTGTTCCTCCCCCCTCCCTCCCTCCCTCTCTCTCTCCCTCCCTTCTTCTTTTAGGGCGGTGGACTCTCTCCACCCCAGCCTCAGGAGCCTATAAGCTCTTCTCCTCCATTTTCCCAGAAGCTTGAAGATTGCATGGTTGAGATGCAATTCTTTCTTTCGTTCTTTTTTTTCTCCCCCCACTGTCCCTGGCTAAAAGAACAGCCGATTGTGAGCAGAGATGGAATGGATACCCAAAAAGAGAAGCCTGCAAAAAGGGATACTGGGTAGCAGGCGAAGGTTGGAGTAAGGGAGCACTAATCGCTGAACCAGGAGACAAATACGATTACCAGCTCTGAGCCTTGAGTCAGAAAGTCTCATAGACTTTAAGATGTTAATCCCCAAGCTAATCCTTCCTTTGGCGTGTCGGAATAGTGCAGCCACAAGAGTTGTTTTGTTATTTATATTGGCGTTTAATAAAACTCAGGCAGTGGTGAATGGGTTGCCCACTCTCCAATGGTAATTAATTCCCTATTTCAGTGACCCAATTGTGCTGGGATAGAGCAGCGGGACAGTCCCACTGCCCCAACCTGCCTTTGTGCAGCTTACATGGCTCTCGTGCTTCAACAGCTATGGAAACTCATTCTTTTGATGTCATTCAAGGAGTTTTTCTTGGGTATCTTCTAAACTTCAAGAACTCCTTTCTTTTCCCAAATGCATGAAAAGCGGGCCTGGCTTGACCACCTCTGTAGAATTTAATGATTCGTTGAAAGGGTCTTGAGGAAGGAGGGAGCAAGAGAAGAGAAGATATAGACAAACACATATCTGTAGAAAAGATGGGGGGAAAGAAATCTGACAGATCTCTATTAAAATAAACTCTGTGCTTCAAAGTACGGTACAAAATTATTAACTTTTATTTTGTTATTTATTTATTCAATTTCCAAATGTTGGAAGGCAAGGGATTCTATTTCCAAGAATACTTAGAGTTCAGTAGGAGGGAATTCATTCAGGAGTGGGAAGTAGTTTAAATAAAACCGATGAAGAGTGCATTGATTTTAATCAACATAGGAAGTTCATGTGGCAGTAGCATTGAAAGACATCCTAACATAAAATAGCAGGACTATGTCTTTATATGCACTTTCAGTGGAGAAAAAAAATCTCTTAGCAAGCCACAGAAACAATTCAGAATTCAAATAAGAAAATACAGAGTGAACCATATGGCCAGGGTAGCTTGAGTTGGCTGTGTTTTTTCTTAGACAAAGAAGGGATTGAGAGTTGAAGGAAAGGAGAAAAAAAAAACCCAACTTTCCGGCTGATGAAGCTGTTGTCTGGAGGCAATGATCCCAAATCTCAAGGCTTTATTCCAAGCTCCGACTGAGACGTGATATGTCATATGATTAGCATCTTTCATATTTACAAGAGAAGTATAGGCTGCCAGCCTTTAGAGAAAGGCGAGAGAAAGAAGGGGCATATGCTGAAATGGATTTAGCATTTGAAAGAGAGAAAAGAGATCGGATAAATACACTTAAACGAGGATTTAGTTTTACTCCTGTTGCGTTCTAATGGATTGTTGATTGAGATTTTAGGGAGCTGGAACAGGGGTGTCACCAGTAATTTAAAAGATGCTATTCAGCTCTTGACTATTTCTTCCACACTTTGTGTATTAATGGGTTTAGTGACAGCTTGAGCTAAAAGAAAACCTTTTTAAGAAATAACCAAAATATGATAGTGAAACTTGCTTTCACTTTTGAAATGTAGATAGCCTTCAAAGTTTAGAGTGCAATTTTCGTTTGGCTGAAGAGAACTTCAAAGTCTATTGGTAAGAGTTTTGCATCACATTTGAATAATTATCTTAATTCATGTGAGATTATGCAAATTGTCGTTATTTCAAAGAAAAAAATAGCTGACCTTTGCTTGCTATCTTCATGCTGTGAAATGAAAAGCAGAGAGAACACTGGCACCACCTAACGGACAATTTTTATTTTAGCTAGAATCTTAACTCTGCAAAAAACAAAATTTATATTTCTAAAATGCAATATTTTAAATTCCTAAATATTTTCCATACAATAACTGGAATAGCATTGTGATATGGTAACAGTAATATCTGGCTAAACAATGGAGGGTTAATTTCTTTTAGAAGATTAAATTCTTTCTATTCAAAACTATTAATTAAAATAACTTTTCTATCCAAAGCTGCTACATCTTATCACATATACATTAGATGCTTTGAAATGTGTACTTAATGTGATAGGACTTTTAACTTCAATACATTTTGATATTCAGTTTCTAAAATATAATTCAAACAAACAAAAAATGAGAATATATGTTCAACTGATCATGCAACTACAGCTTCTGTGCTGCTAGTTTTTGTAAAATGAATAAAACTGTATTTTATGTACCATTATTATCAAAAAATGTTATTACAAAGTCATGGGGGTTGTATAATATCATGATTTTTTAGGAGCGTGAGATAGGTTAATATTAGTTTCAGAATGCTTATTAAAATAACACTTTAATTTTATTGCCTCTTAAAAATCCCAAAGATGGCAGGTTTGATAAAGTGGATATTGCAGGATCAAAGTGAATATTGGTATTCAAAAACGTATGCTGTGATACATTTATTATTTTTTTAAAAAATATTTAATGTTTCAAAACAATTATAGAAGCTTAATAAATTATAGTTTATTTTAATAGTGACACTTTATTGGGGTCTTCTTCTGTGTTGCTCAGACACACACCTTGAATACCATGTCTTGTTCTGGCAGGACTCTTGAAAGATGGAATAAACATGAACAGAGATGTATAAATTAAGCCAGAAGTACAGAAATGTAAAGGACATATTATATTAAGTGTTCAGAAAAGAAAAGAGGAGATAGGATGGCACCGAAATATATGACAGGGTATTATATAAAAGGTGAAGCCATGAAATAGCGAATTTAAGTTACAAGAAGACAGATTACTGAAAATATTTACTAAAAGAAAATGAGGTTTAACAGTGAAACCAATTACCTGTAGAATTAGGTAGATATAATACCCATCCTTTGCATGTATTCTAATTTAGCTATAGCTATTTGTAAGAGCTTAGTTTGAATTCCTGCTTGAAACAGGGAGCTAGAATGGATAGATTAAAGAGTCACTTCTGGCACAGTGATACTAAATGATATAATTGTAAGAGAGAGAAAAAGCCAAGTATGGCTTTTCTTCACAATGATCTTACACAACTGATTGCAGAAAGTAGGTATCTATTGCAATAGCAAAAACTGTAATCCATTATTTATGAATACATTTGTATCCTATTCAAAAATCCATGAGAAATATTTTAAATACGAGTTTATTTAATGCCATAGTATTTATAGAGCAGTTCAAGAATTAAAACAACTGTGTATGAGGAAAAAGTTTGTGGTCATGAAATGTACAGTTCCTAGTAAGTTAGCTTTCATTAGAAATTACTTGTTATAAAGTTATTCATTATATTTAAACTTTTTTTTTAAAAAAACCCTTTAATTCATGTAACAGTATTACTGGTGGCACTTAAATATACCAAAACTGTAATTTAATTTTGATTTTCAAGATGAAATCATTGATATAATCCAGTATATTTATGCGTTTGTTTTTTGGGAAAGTGATTCATTTTTAGATTTTTTCTTTTTCATGATGGCTTCTTCTTCCATCTTTCTCTTGAAATAAGATTTAACAATATCATTCAGTTGCTGCTCACATTGGTTAGCATGTTGTAATCCATTTTTTCTCCCTATAAATAGCAGAATAGTATATTTATATATTATATATAATTAAACTTTAATCACATTGACTTATGTACAAGGAGCCATATGATAATTCTGCTTGATATAGTACAACTTTAAAGAGAGATAATTTAAAGTTGTAAAGCAGAGGTCCCCAACCCCCGGGCTGTGCAAGTGGTGGGCGAGTGTGCACATGCATAGCTCCATTCGTGCAAGTAAAGGGTGTGTGTGCCCACTGATCGCACAAATGGAGTTGCATGCACCCCTGCTGCTTGCACAGAACCATCCCCCCCCGCCAGTCCACCAAGCCAGAAAGGTTGGAGACCGCTGTTGTGAAGGTGTCACCTTGAACAGAGAGAGCTTTGGTCAAATCTCTGGTGGATAAAAAAACTTGAAGGAGATTTTAGCCCAGCCATTCTCTCATCAGACTACGCCCACAAATTACTATTGTAAAAGTAATATTGGGGTGTTCCCCCCCTTTCTTGCATTTCAAAGAACAGGCAGACTCTAAGTACAATGAATGAATAGGTGAGTGATTTATATTTTAAAATATTTTACTTTACCTGTGCAATGCTGAATAACACTTCCCCATAATTTGTTCTTTCTCAAACAGTTTAGATTTCCTACTATCAATAAATGTCTCTTTCCTCTAGTCAGAGCCACATTCACTCTCTTTTCTGAATCTATGAAGCCAACTTGTCTCGTCCTTACACAAGATAAAACAATTATTTCTTTCTCTGCTCCCTGAAAAGCATCTACTGTAGACACCTGGACAGTCTTTATTTGGGCAGTGTCCATGTGTATAGCACCAAACAAGTTACGGATCTGCAAAGAGAAACAGAGGAAATCCCTGACGTTCTTTGTAAAAGATTGAATAAAATAAAATAAAATAATGGGTAATGATATATGTTCTTAAAATATCTACCATTGGAGCAGGTTGAATAAAAAAAGGATTCATAAAACACAATATCAATGGAAATTTTTTATGGTTATGCGAGAAACAGTATATTCAAAATTGAGGCAAGCCATCCCATAAACTTTTGGTTTTTAATTTATAGTGTATTTTAAACAGAATCATCTCTGATAAATTCCTAATTAGTTTAAAGCATAATGAAGCTGAGGGTCTTGGTTTGAACAAGATCAAATTAATGATATTCCCCCCCCCCCCCAAATAATACTGCATTGGAATTGTTTTGGTGACTAAAACATACCTTGCTCATTTGGGATTTGTAGAGAGTTATTACCCCAATCATAGAGCCATCTACTCCGCTGGCAATCAGAGATTGTATTAATTTGACAATGAAAAATGATTCTGCCATATTGTAGAAACTGTTGTCTGCCTCGATCTAGAAAACAGATTTTGAGTTATATAATGAAAAAAGTCAGTGATATGATAATTAATTTGTTTGGTAGAATAATGAAATGTAGTACTATTAATTTAAGACTGTTTATCAAGTTACATTTATCATATGGCTGCCGCTGGAGTGCTCAGTCAAATGAGACTGAGAGAAGTACACGCTCAAGGAAGTTCATTTGCACGAATTAACTATTTTAGCCATGAATGTATGAAATGGAGAAGAGCCGCGGGTATGTTATGCCTAGGATACAATTACTTCATGGATATCTCTTCTATCATTTCTGTCCTAAACAATTTGGTTTACAAAAGAACACGAAAACTACAAGTTCTTAAATCTAAACCATTATCGTCAATTAATGCAATACTTACCTGTTCTGATCCATTAACTTTATAAAAACACAGTGTTGGTAGCCAGTCCAAGAGAGGACTTCGATCTGTTTCAGAAATTCCATTCAACATAATTCCTTCATAAAATAGCTCATTGGTTATAGCAGCAATAACAGGGTGACAACGATACTGTGTTCTAAGTAATATAGGTGCATATCCCTGTGATTATAGCAAGCAGAAAAAGAAAGAGAGCAAAAATAACTGAAAGCACTGTTAAATAACTAATGTTATAAATTATATAATGTAGGAAAATAACAGGCAGAGCTGGGAGGGGGTGGAGTTAAACACATCACCACTTTAGAGTCCTTGCATTGCTCCCTCCCTTGAATTCTTTTGACCCTTATCTAGTACAAATTAGTGCTGTTGACCAGTTTTGTGTATAGGCTTGAATAAATCTATGTTGCAACTTGAAGAATGACATATAATCTCTTATTGTATAAGAATACAATAAAAGATTATGCCTTGTGCCTGACATATAATCTCTTATTGTATAATAATACAATATTGAGATTTCTTTTTATGCCAGGCTTTTTGTTGTAAGTAATATGTGCAACAATATAAGGATAATAGGACAAGATAGTTATTAACATATACACTGGGAAAATATTTAAGCCTTTTTGTGCTATGGGACAAGTAATGTAATTTTTTAAAAAAAATGTAAATCCAATCATTCAAAATGCTTAGGAATTTAGCAAAGACAGATTTCAGACAATTGTGTCATTACAGAAAAGAATTCACAGAAGTGGTTGTAAGAAACAGTCCTTTTATTTTACACTGATTATTTCAGAAAATATGTAAATTCGTTATAAAATCCTTGCTGCCACAAACTGAATATTAATTCATAGTTTTGGGGCTGCCATGCTATTATCACACTTTGTATGAAATAAATAAGATTATTAGCCTAACTCTATATAACTGATACTGGTGAAAAATATACTTATCTTCTGGTTTATAAAATGTTTCAGTATACAAAGAATTATAAACCTTTTATCCATAGCTATGGAGAACTGAGATAATTGTTTTGTGCACTCAGAATGCTAAATCTACCTGCAAACTTGAAATGTGGATTGTTGTTCTTTATGATGTTTAAACTGTTCTTTTTTTCAACAAAGAAGCAAGATAATTTGGTCACATATCTTTATGTTGTTTTTCTAAATATATTTACATACTATCTTTTTATTTATAATTTGTGAATATTTTCCTTGAAGCAACTATCTTATCAGATTATTAATTAGCAACATTTAGAATGTATTTGTATTTTTTCTATTTTAATAAATTGCAAAACCCACTCTTTGAGAAAAGAAACATAATAGTTTCATCTTATCTACAGATGTGACCAAATATGCCAAGTCTACAGAATATCTTACATTACAGATCTAAAAAAGGAATGTTATTTGATAAAAACATTTTCAAAAATTAAAGAAGCACAAGTATTTGTGAAAATGGTACACTGGCATTTTTTATTCAACGCAGATACTGAAGTTGATCTTGCCAGATTCAGAAATCTTCAAAATATGATATATTCTGTGATTTTTAGAAACATTCTAATAGGAGCGTTTATTTTAACTGTTGTCACTAATTCTTCGTGGAAGAACTTTTAGAGAAGATAGTTATCCAGTCCTTATGATAATCTTCCTTATGAATGCCTGTTCATGATGGACATCTGATCTGTCACTCACATGTATTCCATACTGAAATATCTACTGAGTATGTACTAAATATTTTCATAAAACAGAACATATAACATTAAGAAAGCAACATTTTGTTGGATAAGATTTTGACTCACTTTCTAGGCTCTAAATATTTTTAAAATTAAAAAAAATCAAGTATATCTCTCTAGATATTAGAAGTACACACCATCAAACAGAGCCGATCAAACAGAGTTTGTTCCAATCCACTGTCATGTGCACTTTCAGACCCTTGAATGGTAGGTGGCAGCTGCTTAGGATCTCCAACCAGAATCAGCTTTTCACATTCAAAACTATAAATAGAAATATATTTTTGGACACCACATATTATATTTAAAAATTGGAAAACTTTCTTTCAGTAAAAGCCAATCATATATCATATAAACCAGTGGTTCTCAACCTTTTTAATGCCGCGACCCCAACCGGTCGTAAGTTGAGGACTAAACCGGTCGCAAGTCGAGGACTAAACAGGTTGTAAGTCGAGGACTAAACAGGTCGTAAGTCGAGGACTACCCAACTGGTCGTAAGTCGAGGACTTTCCCTTCCCGGGAGCGCCGCACATGCGTGGTTCCGCCCCCTGTGCCGGCCGAGGCGTAGCTGGCAAGCGGCAGAGACAGAGCAGGCCGACCACCAGCTGGCCCAGCCCAAGGGAGGTAAGGCACCCGCTGGAAAAGGGGAAAAAATGGCGGACAAAAAAAATGGCGGACAAAAAAATGGTGGACAGCCTTGCTTGGCGACCCCCATGAAATGGTCGATCGACCCCAAATGGGGTCCTGACCCACAGGTTGAGAACCACTGATATAAACCATAGCGTTGGACAAAAAAAGTCTAAAGACAAAATAGACAGATAGCTCCAGCTGCCTGACCAGCTTCCTAGTAAACCGTAACTGATAATACAGAGCTGAAACTATGCTTTATGTCTGTTCATTTGCTATACAGTTTAAACTTGTATTAGGCTTCAGACTTTTGTGCTAAAAACAATTATCTTTAAATTTCTTTCACAACACCAAGTTCAAGAAAACTTGGAGCATGGTATGAAACTGTTAATACAGAAGCCCAAATAAAAATATATTAAAATATTACTGGTCTTTCAACAGAATGTATAATCGTCACTAATTGTTTACTTGTTCTCAATAAGCCTGGCAAAGCAAATACATACTGTAACTTTTGTATTATTTATAGCATTTCCCTCTTTAAATTGGCTTTCATTATGAGCTTAGCTCTAATGCCTGGCCAGCATTTATTCTCTCTTAATTCGTTGGATAAAATTAAGTTGTAGAAAAAAAAATGTTTCTTGAAACTGACCCAATGCAAAGTGTCTATGTTATATTACACTTTTAACAACTACATACTGAACTTTGGGATGCATAAAGGGCTAATCTACCTTAATCAGATGTTTCTGGATTTGCCTGACCTAGCAGCTAAAAGCAAACTGATTCAACAAGAATCTTATGAAAAAAATGCTTCCAGTTTCTTGAAGATAAATGCTATCTTGCTGAGACCCAATTCTGGAATTATAAGAGTTTCTCACCTTCCCCTATATTGGCTGTTTTCACCATACTTGGAAGATTTATTTTGCTATTTCAGCTTTAGTTTTCTAAATAATATATTGCATTTAAAACTTTGTAAATAATGGAGATCAGCTTCACACAGCTATTCTTGCTGTCAGCTAAGCCATCACAATTTCACACTCCATTTTGAGAATTTAGTTAGAAGGTGGTCATTGAGTTGTTGCAATAATCAGAATTATATTAGTTGGTTATAAAATGTTTTCTTGCTTACATTTTAAAGCAACTTACATACATCATAAGTTAAAACAATCAGTACACTGAATTTAATTACTGGTAGTCCTCCACTTCTGATCATAACTAAGCCTGCAATTACATCCCTAAATCATGGTGATTGTTATCATTATGGGACCGCACCCAATTTTGAGACCTTTTCTACAGTCATTAAGTGAATCACCATGGTCATTAAGCAAATATGGAGGTCATTAAGTGAATGTGATGGTTCTTAAGTGAAATCCATTGTCTGGATTTTGCTAGGTTCCTGCAGAACAATTGTACATTGTGGTCATGTGACCATGGGATACTGCAAACAGCCCTAAATTCAGAGTGGTTGCCGAGTGCCCAAAATATGATCATGTGACTATGGGGGGGGGGCTGTCCATTGAAATGTTGAATCTGGATTATATGTAGTCCTGGGGAAGTCTGTTGTAAGTTTGAATGATCGTTAAATGACTGGTTAAAAGTCAAGGAGTCTAATAACAAAGTAAAATGATGCCATACCTTGCAATAGGGAACAGAGAGGATGGTTCTGTCATTTGACTACACTCATCTAGAATCACTATAGGAAACTTAAGACTTTTCATGCAAGGAAATGAGCAGGCAGCACAAGTAGATCCCACTACCCTCACCTGTATCAACAGAGGAAAAATAAAGCAATCTGTATACCCATATAAATAAGGAACCACAAATTGTACAATCAAAATTCAATTTCTTTATTTGGCATTTGAATGCATTTATACTCAGAAATGGTACTACCAATAAAAAAAATCAAATTTATAATGAACAAATATGACTCCATGATGCTGGTTCTATTACCCCTATGCCTGAAGTTTACTTTAAAAAAATAATAAAACATGCAAAGATTAAAAATGCAAGTCAGTTCATTTCAGTTTATTCATGTGACGCCATGTTTGCTAACTGATTTCAATAAAAACAATTGATTACAAGGGTGAAGGTTTGTTCTCCGAGCTTGTGGGTTGGTTTCCGAACATTTTGTTACCAGACTGGGTAACATCTTCAGCAGCGTTTAGGGATATCGGTGTCAGTGCTCTTCTATTTATAAGGGCTTTTCAGGTGTGAGTGTGTCAGGTGAGTCTCTTGACAACTGATTACTTTATAGCCCAGTCTCTTTCATAGTTATAATAAATGCTCAACTTAAGGGGCAGTAGTTCAGTCATTCTGCTGGATATGAGTTTGTTCAGATTTCAGGCAATAATAACTACACAAAGAATTTGTCATTTGACAAACTCATTGCAAATGTATTTGAAATATATTTAAATAAATGTTGATCCCTTTATTTTTAAATTATCATAGTCGTTATACTGTATGACTTTACAAACTGACATGTTCATGTGTACATCAGAGGCTATAACACTGACCTATCTTTGACTGTAAAAAGAATATCTGAGGAGCCCCCTCCCCAACATCCAACTCATAGGTTAAAACAGGGATTCCCAACTCCCAGACTGTTGCCCACTGCCGGGCCTTGAGCCATTCGGAACCAGGCCGTGGAAGTGGTGGGCAAGCATGCGTGTACCCCCACTTGTGTGAGCAGCAGGTGAGCACGCGCACGCTTGCCCACTGCTCCCGCAGAACCATCCCCTCTCCCCCCCGTCAGTCTGAAAACCAGAAAGGTTGGGGAACCCTGAATTAAAAGACATTCAGTTTTAGTGGAGATCCTTGCCCAGGGGTAGGCAACCTTGGCTCTTTTATGACTCGTGGACTTCAACTCCCAGAATTCCTGATTCAGCACAGTTGACTCAGGAATTCTGGGAGTTGAAGTCCACGAGTCATAAAAGAGCCAAGGTTGTCTACCCCTGCCTTTGCCTCATTAGTCTGTTAACCTGAACAGCTACTGTATTTCTTAAACATTCACTTTTACAGTAATTTGCTTCACATTAAAAAAAAAAAGAACACTAAATGCAGTTTCCAAATTCAGCACAGATGGTCCTCGACTTCCAACCATTCGTTTAGTGACTATTTGAAGTTATGACAGTGTTGAAAAAAAGTGGTTTATTAGAATTTGCATTTATGACCATCACAGTATCCCTGCGGTCACGTGAGCATACTTTGTGTGTTTGACAACTAGCATGTATTTATGATGGCTGCAGTATCCCGGTGTTATGTGATCCCCATTTGGAACCCCCCTAGTCAACTGTCAACAAGCAAAATCAATGGGGTCAGCCAGATTTGTTTATTCACTATGTGACTCGCTTAATGACTGTGACAAAAAAGTTGTAAAAATTGGGCATGACTCACTTAACAACCAGATAGCTTAGCAAGGTGAATTGTGGCCTTAAATCAAGAAGTATATGCGTTAAGAAAAACTGTTTACTTGAAATGAACATTATTTTACCTAATAATATAATTGAAATAAGACAGCATTATATGTATTTAACTTCCAGAGCGGCTTCTTATTAATACTGGCAGAAAGAAAATTGGCTTGTCATAATAAAATAATAAAACATTATAATGTATATAATAAAATATAATAAAACATATTATATTCAAATAATTCTATTTTTTGCCTGTAATTTTCATAATTCCCAAAGAAGTTCATCATAATACCTCTCCAGATTATTTATTTGTAGTACCATTGAGTTGGATCTACTGAGTCTATAGTTCCAACATTAACATTCCTACAAGTATTTGCTAATGATGTTTACGCCACAAATTTACTAATGAAGGATTTCTCCATAATTATATTCCATTTCACTATCAATGCACAACTGGGGCAAGAGTCCAAAAAGGAAATGCTAACAGCTCCCTCACTTTCTTAATAACTGAATATATGCTTTTTCACTCAGGAATTTACAGTTCCAACCTGTCTTTTTAAATAAGATTTAATTGTATTCTTACTGTTCCATTGGCTTTAGGCTAGATGACTTTGCTATTGATTTTTTAAATTATTTTTGTATGCCACATTCTATTACTTAACCAGAGCCTCTAAAGATAATTTTAAAAAATCTATGCTACCTATTGGCACATGCAAATACACTTCATCATTACCTTTCTCAGGGAAGCTTTATTGGTGCCCAGTTTATGTTGTTCAATAGTCTTCTTCACATACATTTTTTCCACTGGGTTTAAATCCTCCTTCATCAAGGCAAGTAATTCTTTCAGCTGTTCATTTTCAGATCCTGAGCCAGCATGCAAGCTTTAACATATTGCATAATTGTAGGGAATAATACTGAATGGAACAGTTTGTTTATGAAAAGATGCCTCTGCACAAAAGACTGCTGCTTCTACTTTAGGTAGAAGCTGAAATCTAAGAGAAGATCCCAGTTACCATGCCACAAAAGGTAGCATTAGCATATTGTTTATGGAATAAAGAAGGGATTATCTGTCTGAATGAGCCTTGTGTAAAAAATTATATTTACATCCAAATAATAAATTATAAGCAGTAACCTACATTAGAACTTACTTGTTTATATATGAGTGCATTCAAACATTTTGTACAGATGGTAGCCAGCAAGAATTTTTTTACTTATTAGATTTATTGGGCTATCTCAAATACGATTCTAAGCAACTCATATATTTGTTTTAAAATGAACATTTTACACCAGTTTCTTCCAGAGTAACTTATAGAAATCAAAACCAATTTTAAAAAATAATTTTAAAATGATCGAACAGCAGAATGCAGTTAACAATAAAACCATAAAAAAATTCATATGACTTTAAAAGATCTGAAAAAATAAAATGCAATACAATGATATAGAACAGTGATGGCAAACCTTTTAGAGACTAAGTGCCCAAACTGCAACCCAAAACGCACTTATTCATCGTTGAGTGCCGGGTAAGTGTGGCCCATTGGCTGGGCGTGGCCAATTGGGTGGGCGTGGCCCATTCGGTGGGCATGACTGCAGTGGTAACGGCAGACTGGATGGAACTAAAAAGTTCAATCAATCAATTCCAACTTTGCAAGAATTTTTGTTTCCCGCAAGAAGTTGAAATTGATTGAACCTTTTTTTTTTTTTTTGCACATGGCAGCGGAGGCCTAAAGCGAAAAGGTTTTATAAAACCCAGCTGAAGTCCTAGGACCGGGGCGACGACGCGCATGCCCACAGAGAAGGCTCTGAGTGCCGCCTCTGGCACCTGTGCCATAGGTTCGCCACCACTGATATAGAAGTACTCAAAACCTCAACCTCATTAAGAATCCATTTCAAGTACTTATTCTATAATTTATGTCCCATACTTTCTAATACTTAAAATGGCTTACATCCTTTAATAAAAGCTACTGTCAGAATGCCCAGTGCTCACTTATCCCGTGCTGCCTTTGGAGGATAGGGAGTAATGGTAAATGAATCTAGAAAAAGATGTTTATGATGAAATCAATAAAATAATTATTCTAATTGTATAAGTTGCTAAAAATTATTTTGAATTTCCACCTAGCTTCCTGTAGTTTGAAAACAACTATGACAGCTGTTTATATGGTTCTCTATGCTTGTACCTCTATACAAACTCCAGCTTGATCAAAGGCTTCTAGTACAGTGGCTCCCAACCTTTTGGGCACCAGGGACCGGTTCCGTGGAGATTTTTCCACGGATCGGAGGGGTGTGGTTTCATATACTGCCTGCATCCTGCGGATGGGGCTTTGCTTGTTTGCGCAGCCTTGTTTTTGGTATACCGCGGTCCAGTGCTTGTCCACAGACCGGAGGTTGAGAATCCCTGTTCTAGTAGATCCAAATGCAACTCTTGGACCTGGTTAAAGATTTTAAGCAAGTTACCTGTAAGGAAGTATTGGCTTTGCAATTTTTTTAATGCTTCCCACTCTAATGAAGTCTTCAAATCCAATGTCTAGTAGGCTGAAATAAACAATAATTCATTATTTTAAATCTCTTAAAAAAGAAATTTTGATTCTTTCATTTATATTTTGTCATGGTCATTAAATTGCATCGCTTTACAAATTGAAATATTCATGTGCAAATCTGAAGTGTTAATTACTGGCAATTACCTGAACTAGTCCCTGCTGTTTTCTTGGCAAGATTTTGGAAGTAGTTTACCATTGCCTCCTTCCTGAGAGAGAATGACCTGCCAAGGTCTCCCAGCTGGCTTTGTGCCTGAGGCAGGACTCATGGTCTCCCAGTTTCTAGCCTGATGCCTTAACCACTACACCAAATGTGTCAAGAGAGCGAAGGGACATATCTAAACAGTTTTTCTCCATTTGAGTAGTGAGTCTTTCCACTGAATGCTTCAGGGACAAAGAGATATTAATGCTCCTTTTAGTCTGCAAAAGGACTATGAATTGGAGGAATTTGGGTAGAAACTTGCTACATTAATCATTTTGACACTCTGTGGCAGGGTTAAATAGTTAGGAGAGGAGACTAAGAAAAAACGGTCTTGAGGCAGAGTTTGGTTCAAGTTTCAATAGATCTTCATAGAATTGCAAGTTTCCAAAGAAACTCCAGTAACATTCTTTTCATTTTTCAGTTTTCTAAATTGATTCTTATCAGCTATAAGCTTTTAAAATGTTTTCTAATCTTAGATTAAACTAGTATTTACGAGTGTGAAAGTTTGATTAGAAAGTGCTTTTAGAGTTCACCAAAATAGCATTTTAGGGTTCCTACCCAAAAGAATAACAAAAAGCTGCATTTGATTAGTTTTCAAAAATAAAGAATACATCAAGATTAATTATATGCACATACAGTATTATTGTAAAAAACATCTTTTATGGAAACAATTTGAGCATAAATGATTTCTAAATTACTTACCTCAACAGTATTCTGTCTACAGCAACATTGGTGGAAGAAGAAACCAATACTTTCCATGGCACTGACTGTTTGCCATTAACTGCTTCATTGATTTCAAATATTTGTACCAGGAATAAAATAACAATAGCCAGCAATAAGCTTTTTCCAGATCCAAATACACCTACATGTTGAGTTTAATAAATTAAGTACATTAGAATAAACATATTGTGTATTGTTCTTTTGAACAGGTATTTTCTTCGAAATTGGGCTGAGCAGTAAGGAGGTTAAAGAAATCAGACATTCATCATGAGAAACATTCTTAGCTGTGCATACAGTGATTGCATCAAATCAGCTGAAATGTAATATTGGAATTAGAGTGGAAAGCCCACTAATGCTATGATTGCAATATAGGTAGTCCTTGACTTATGGCTGTAATTAAGCCTGGAATTTATGCTAGAATAGTGAGAAGAATCAGATAATATTCTCTCCTAATTTGGTATATGTAGAACTTACCTTTCCATTTAACCTGCATGTCAGTGGATATTAAAGTAGTTTGCACAAAAAACCTATTCAGTATAAGACCTCCTAAATAAACCTAAGTAATTCCTACTTTCCTCCTCATTGCACACTTCTACATATCCTAAATATGGTCATGGCAAAATCCTAACCTTCCAGAGTAGATTTGGTGGGGTACATGGGAAGCTGCAATGTGGAATATAAATCTAGTATTGTACATAGTTCAAAAGTTTGAATATAAATGGTTGATAGTAGTAAAAAAAAAAATCTAAATTAAAATCCTGAAAAAAATGTTTAGAGAAGGAAGACAAAATTGAAGATAGTTCATTAAAATATGGACTGAATATAGGACTGGAGAAGCCAAAAAATGAAGCCTTTGTAAAATAATTTACCATGTATTATTGTTATTGGAAAAGTCGGATGCTTCCCTGTTTCTGTGTTAATTTCTTGAGATGTCATCATGGCACCGATCTGCATCATTGCTGTGGCCTGATCTTTATTTAGCTGAAAAGCTTGAATAATTTTATCAGCAAGATTTATAACTATTTCTGGGCTGAACACTTCAGATTTTATTGCATTTGTATTTAGTGCTGGTGGTTTAAACTTTTGTTTCCTTTCTTTGGTTTTTGGAAAGAATTCTTTGAAACCCCTAAAATATAAGAAAAGAGAAGATTTAACCTATTTAGAACTTAGCACTAGAATGAAAATATATTTCCAGTCAAGTAATTCAAATGTATTTGTATTAATGAATGTACAAATCTGTTTCTGTTTTTAAAAGACAGTATCACTACTTACTTTGTAAGTAGATGCTGCATGATTGGCAAAGTGATCAAATTGACATTTTCCTGTATATTTCTCAAATTTGTAAGTTCAGTGCTAGCATTACACACGAACAAGGCATGAACAATCACTAAGAAAGAAAATATAATAAGAAATAGATATTTAGAGATGAACTTGACTAAAAAAAACCATTTGAATCTTGTCCAAAAATACAAGACACTATACATGCCAATATCAATTGTAACAATAATTTTTAAGGTAAAATAATAGGCATGGGGAGATACATTCTAATTTGTATCAAGACTTGTGGATTAGTTAGGGCAGGGGTAGGCAACCTTGGCTCTTTTATGACTCGTGGACTTCAACTCCCAGAATTCCTGAGCCAGCCATTCTGGCTCAGGAATTCTGAGAGTTGGAGTCCACGAGTCATAAAAGAGCCAAGGTTGCCTACCCCTGAGTTAGGGAGTATTGTATTTCCTTGGTCTCAAAGCAACATTTTCCAGAAATGACATGTCTCTAAAAAATTCCCATTTCTGTGTTCCCTGCAACTGAAGAGGTTTTTTTAAATTATTATTATGATTATCTAATTTTTTTCTGTTTAACAAGGATATATTTGGATTTTTCCCCCCCATCTCTTCACATACCACGTACATTTTTCTATAAGAAGAGCAGGTAGTTGTGTTTCAGTTCAATGCATTCCCTGTACTCTAGCTCTGCTTTCCCACTAATTCTTTCAAAGTGTACCTATTATGTCTTGGATTTAATCAAAGTTGTGCAAATATTTAACTTTCTCAAACTGACCATGAATTAAGATAAATTTCAAGCAAACATATTTCAGTTGCAGGAAAATATCCTGTGGATAAGTAAAATATTTTGACTATTTAGATTTTCCTACTTATCAAATGCCCTGAACTGGGTTTCCCACTGTCCTTTAAAAGCTGATCTGATTCAATGATAATTTTTCCAGTAAAAGCTGTTGGAATTCCGTTTTATGGCATATTAAACAGTCATATTTTGAATAATCTGTTCTAAAACCTTACAGGGAAAAAAACCTTTAGCAGAAACTTACTATTTGAGCACCAATTTGATGGGCTATAACCATTGAGAGGTTCCAACTCCACTTCATTATTAGAGGATGGTCCAAAGAAAACACTATATGCAATGAAAGTGTCCAAGGGTTCAAAGGTCAAAGTCTTGGAAACAACCCAAAGATCATCTGTCAATATAGTACATACATTTGCATAAGTTACACCAAGCAATCAATTTTGCAATTAAGTAAAGCTACAATTGAAACTTTGAAAAAAAAAGTTTTTTTCCTTTTTTATTTCCTATGTCTTCTTGCTGAAAAAACAAAAACACTGAGATTTTTCCTTCTCTTAATCAGGAATGCATTGAGTAAATATCTATTTTCACATTAAATAATTTCATATTCTTAAGGGCACTATTTGAAAAACTATTCTGAGAGGCATTTTAAATTTTATCATCTACATCATTTAATTGTTTATGAACAGAAAAAAAGTCATTCATAACTGTTTTACTATATAAGCTAAAAATTAAATAAAATATAAGAATATTTATTTGCATAACTATAATTTAAATTTCTAAGGTCACCTTTTTGAGGATTTTAAACAATTTGGAAAGATGTGTGCAACACTATTCATGCTGTACACTGAACCAGCCAGAGCTTCCAAGTGATCTTCAAAAGTAGCCCCATAGAGAACATATTCAATAGTCCATACACGAGGTGATTAAGGCAGAATGACTGTAAGAAAGATTTCCTAGTCTGGGAAAGGTGCAAATGATGCATATGATAAATCCATGCAAAAACTTTCCTGGCCACAGCTGCCATCTGCTTTTTGAGCTACAAGTCTAGGAAAAATTCCAAACTATATACCAGTTCTGTCTATGAAAGCGCAATCCATCCAGAACTAAAATTAGAAAATCCTCAGTCAGATAGTTCATGGACCCATTGCTAATGTCTGGCTTAATCCTATTCCTCCCCATCCAGACCCCAACAGAATCAGGCACTGGGACAAAACCTCAACAATATCATTTGATCAGTTAGGGCAGGGGTAGGCAACCTTGGCTCTTTTATGAGCCAGCATGTAATATAAAATTATGTTGTAACATAATGTAATATAACAAAATGTAACATAAATTTTCTTTTGTCTCAGAGATTTTCAAAGTTACCAACCTTTGCTGTATGTAGATGAATGCTCCTTCCGGTTCAGTTTAAGAAATAATTTGCTCTTAGAATCACAGTTAAAGCTAGCCTTTGCAATATTACATTTCTTCATCTTACTAAATTGTTTTCTTTGAGTATCAAACATTTTCCTGCAAAAATGAAATATAAGAACCCTGTAATTTATATATTGCTTTTAGGAACAAATACTAAAATAATTTCTCATGAAATGAAAAACATAAAACTGGGGACACAAAGTTTAATATTAATCAAAATAATGAATAAACTCTTCATTAGTAGCAATATTAATATCAGTAACAGATATTGATTGAAAGTGCTAAATCTGGCGGCGGGGGGGGGGGGAATAACATGACCAAAGAACTGCTTAGTCTGTTTGAAATTAATTTATAATATTGGGATCATTACTACTATTTTTTACTTTAAATACTTTTTATTAACTCTTCCTAAAGGAAACTTAAGTAATGTAGACACTATCTTCATTATTCATTAGCATCACTTCTTTTCAGTTATAAACTACTATTCAAGTGTATCTAACATTTCAACATACCTTATTAAAAGTTGGCATTCTTCATAGATAGAAATTCTTTGACATCTAAGATAAGTTCCAATACTCTTTATATCATTAAGTTTAATACAAGGTTTACTCTCCATCTGTATAGGTTTTACATCTTCAACCCACTTAAAAAAATCACATCGATCTGCTTTAGCAGCATCACAAGCATAGAAAAGACGTCCCTGAAACAAAATGCAAGCCATATTAATCCATCGAACAGACAACCTGACTAGTTTTCAAGAGAGAGAGAGAGAAAGGGAGGGAGAGAGAGAGAGAAAGAAAGGGATAGAGAACAAAAAAAGCTTAACTTTATTGGTCAAGTGACTTTTGGGATAGTATAACAAATCTCTCAAAAGATACTGATTCAATTAACTTGGTTTTGAGTTATATGGCTTTTTGGCTGCAGTACAAAGTTGTAACTAAGTGAAGATAGTCCTTGACTTACAACAGTTCATTTAGTGACTATTCAAAGTTACGACAGCACTGAAAAAAGTGACTTGTGACCATTTTTCACAGTTACAACTTTTGCAGCATCCTCATGGTCATGTGATCAAAATTCAGATGCTTGGCAACTGGTTCATATTTATGAGGGTTGCTGTGATCAACTGTGTGTCCCGGGGTCATGTGATCAACTTTTATGGCTTTTCGACAAGCAAAGTCAATGGGAAAGCCAGATTCACTTAACAACTATGTTACTAACTTAAGAACTGCAGTGATTCATTTAACAATTGTGACAAGAAAAGTCATAAAATAGGGCAAAACTCACTTAAAAATGTCTCACTTAACAACAGAAATGTTGGGCTCAATTGTGGTCGTATGTCGATGATTACCTGTATAATATCAGATTATTGAGCCAATATATGGTATTTATTAAAACAAACTTATTTTCCCCGCTACTAAATTTGTTTAGTGACTCCCTTCCCTTCATACTGGTACTAGCAAATGCAGGTTAAAAAATGATATTCACTGAAAAAATTGCACAGGGACAAAACTTCTCAACAGTCATTATTACACTTACGAAAACAAAGATAGGAATCATATCCCTGGCTACTCAATTTCAGAAATACGTTCTGATGAAAGGAAAGCCATTCCCCTTTCCCTCAGTATGCACAGAACTGAGCTGTTTCAGCAGCTTACTGTTAAAATACTCAAAATATTTACTAATTTCCATATTTTTCAGCTACTATAAATATTCTGATAAAAGTGTATAATTATTTTATTCCCCAAATACAAGCCAAATTTGCAATTTCAAAAAAATGTGTACATCTATGCAATTCATATCCTTGTGCCATTAATATCTATCCTAGTAAACCATGGTTAAAAAAAATCCGATAATGTGTTTTAACCAGCCTTTAACAACATACCTTATTTCGACCTTCTTTTCTAACCATAACAAGCTTTGTTGCTATTTTGTGGCTGCAGAGAGGCGCAGAATTCTCTTGTTGCCCTTCTTTCACTGATGTATAGAAAGATATATCCACCTTCCCAAGAGCTTTATGTAGATTTTTTGATAGTTCAAATAATAATATGTTTAAATGTTCTTTAAACACAAATAGGGAATATGAGATGTTTTACAATTAGAAAGTGGAAAAAACATGCATTTTAATATAGCTCATTTCATATCAAGTAATATTAAATTGCTTGAGTCACTTAGCCAACTTTTCCAGTTTAATAATGTCTCTAGGTAAGGGAAAAATTAAATTAAAAACTTTAAAACTAAGGATTTCTTAATTTCACTGTCATTCAGAAAAAAAAGATGAGGTAAATCTTGGGGAAATAATCAATAACTCTGTCAAGTATTTTAGTGCTAAATATGGGCTACCATATACAACTGCTAGTTTTCCTTCATTGACCTACGATGCCAATGAAAGGAAATGAAAGGTACTAATAGACTTTGAAAGTAAGAGCCAAGGAGAGAATTAGTATGTAATTTTTCTTTTGCAAACGATAATAACTATAATAATCTTGTATAAGGCAGAAAGTCAAATGGCTAGAAATCCTACTGGTCCTGTAAAATTTGACTTCTTGAGAAGTCTAATCAAAAATCTTGACTGCAAAGCATTTTTAGAACCATTTATTAATTCTGAGTACCTGTATTAAAATGAAAAGTTGGACCATACCTATCAATGCAGTAGTAAAAACTTTCTTATAATGTGCTGGAGACTGAAATTCAACTGGTATGCATTGTTGTCTTTTAGGTACATTAGTGTTCTTTACCATATCTGCCCTAGGGAAATACAGCTCAGAAGTGTCCTGTAAAACAAAATAAGCAAATTCCTATTTCCTTTTTTCTAATCTCATATACATATAAGTTACCTACTGTATATTTAAGACCACTGAATATATATTTATTAAGACTATGACTATTCTTCCAGTTTTTATGAACAAATATCTTACCTGGGTCTTATGAACAAATATATCATAGATATATTTGAGTACTAAATTGTAATCTTAAATAATGTGGAAATATCCTGTCTCCAGAATGTATACTGTAATGTATAATTTTGGAACCTGACTTTGTTGAGTTTCATAAAAATCACCTTAAGGACTTAAAACAATGACTGAAGATGCCGGCTTGTTGTGCTGTTTGCAACTACAGGGCCCCAGTTTAGTCTAATTAAGAGATTATGGTTAATTAGATTCCTCATTTTAGCAGTTTGCAGCAAAAGGAGTCATGGTTTCACGAATGAGTAAAAACCGTACATATCTTCATTTTATAAGCTATGATTGTGAGATTATCAAATTTAAATATTTTGAAACCTGTTAACACAGTATTCTTGAAAACGTTAAAAAAACCTGTAAGAGAAAACATTAGGCACATACAAAACTAATCTGCATTTACACATGGTGGACAATATTTAACTGCATTTCTTAACATTGGGAACAATTACATACCTTGCTATCTCTGGTTATATTGGGGAAATTCAGGTGACCTAACTCACTTAGAACTTCCTCAGTGGAAAAGTGTTGATTTAAGTGCAGGAAAAGTTTCTTTCTTTCTGAAACAGAATCTTGACTGATAAAGTTTTGCTGCTGTTTACAAAGCATGCTTTTTATTGTCTCCAGATGCTCAGAGTCCAGAGGGCTTTTATAGATGACATTACTCTGATTCTCTCTTCTGTATGCTAATGACATTCCTAAAAAACTCTCAGCTTTGATATCAGAAGCCATGGCAACTTCGTTGCTATTTTGAGATCTCAAATCACAACCAGTTGTATTGTGGTATTTCTGCCATTTGCTTTGTTCCTTTTGTTCAGACACATTAGGCAATGCACTCTGTATGGCTATCTTGTCTCGTACTCCTATGTACTTTTCACCCACAAAAATTTTACACATCCTGTCCTTAGGCTCTAGCATTTCTGACATGTCATATGTATTGACTACTGAGAAATCACAATGATGGTGAATCTGTTTACAGATTTTTGCACTGGAATAAAGTTGGGAATCAGGAAGTAGATTATCTACAAGTCCAGGAACAATTGGAGTTTGTGTACCAAGAGCAGGTAAAAGGATAGACATATCTTTTTCTGGATATGTGGACTCTCCCATTCCTATAAAACAGGGTACAGTATGCGGACACTTGAAAACAAAATTCTATTGATAATATAGTGAAACATTAATATTAGTATTATTTTTTGGAATGGACTGCCTTTCTCTAAATATTTTCAGTAGCAAAAACTTCAACTGCAATCATTACTAATACAGCACAATATATTTCTTACTGGAAGGTTATAATAAAACTACACTAATAATTTTGTTAAAGAAAAGGATCTTAAAACTTTGTTTACACACTCTTGAAAATTTGGAATTGCTATATTTTTCAAAAACTAATACAGTTAAAGTTTTAAAGTGCAGGAGAAAGTTTCATAAGAGTAAAGAATAAAAGTGTGTCTTTCTGTTATTTGAGAGTCAAACTGAGTTCCTAGTTACTTTTATTAAAATAGCTATACACAGTGGTGGGATTCAAATATGTGAACAACCAGTTCTTTGTGTGGATGCTGCTTCTGGAAGTCCATTCTGGGTCTGGGCAACAAAAAAATAGCTACCGGTTCTGCCGAAGTGGTGTGAACCGGCTGAATCCCACCATTGGCTATACCTCTAAACAAAATCAATTAGATTATAAATTGAGAAGACATCAAAGCATTTTGTAATGTCTCCATTCCTTAATACTGAATTTTTTATACCTATTTCATAAATAGAAAATAACTGGGATGTGATAGGTAGAGACTGAATACATTTATTTTGTTCATGGATACAAAATAACTCATAAATGAAAAGCTGCAGTCACACAGATCAGGAGACACAGAAGGTCCTTTTCATGAGCAGAAAAATCATGACCCCAGGGCAGGGGTAGGCAACCTTGGCTCTTTTATGACTCGTGGACTTCAACTCCCAGAATTTTATGACTCGTGGACTTCAACTCCTAGCATGGCTGGCTCAGGAATTCTGGGAGTTGAAGTTCACGAGTCATAAAAGAGCCAAGGTTGCCTACCCCTGCCCCAGGGAAATAGGCAGGGATGGAGGAAATTTCAGCAACATTTTTTAAAATATGAATTACTTACATTTTGTTAGTGATCAAACTAGATTAAGAATGCTCAAACACTAACTGGAGCATTCAGAAAAAGCTGGCACAACTGTTATTTATATCATTAACAATCAAACCTTTCTTACTGAAAAAGGGTTTTTTATTATCCATATACAAGTCTGGATGAGTTTTGGACATCAGCAATTCCTGCTCTTGTATTGTTTCTTTACTACTTGGAGTTGGGAAAAAATGATAGCCAGTAGTCTGTGAAGAAACCCATTGTTTTGATAACAGCTGAACAGAAGGAATGTAAAAAGCATAGTTACAAATAGATACGAATGTCTACATTTCTAAGCATTTATTTCTATATTTTACAGAAAACAATGAACTGAATTTTAATATTCACTTAGTACCTAAATAAATTCTAACTCAAAATTAGTAACAGATATACATAACGGTGTTCTTGATTGCTACTCTGTGTATATATATGTGTGTGTGTGTGTATGTATGTATGTATGTATGTATATGTGTGTGTGTGTTTAGATACATACATACATACATACATATCCCTTCTTTCTAGAGAAAGAGAAATATATTTTAAGAAAGAAAAGGGACAAAAAGATATTTTTGAAGAATATTATATTCTTCAAAAAAATGAGAGAAAAAACATTTCAAAATTCTTGGACAGTATATGATCCTAATGAGATAATGTCTTGGCAGTATCTAGAATTAAGGCAGCTTTGTGGTAGTAATTTTTTTGTTAATAAAACAAAATGAGCCACCCAGTCATTACCTTATTAAATTCCTTCGAAGCAGACTCAGTAAAGTCTAGATTTGAGGAAGATTTTGTCACAATCTGACTTGGAGATTTAAAAGATGCAGTCTTTGTTACTATTAAGAGGAAGAAACATACAAAATATTGAAGACGAATGTTACATTTTGGTCATTAATTGTTCATATTGATAGATACTTACAATATTTATTATTGCCTTTTTCTTCAAAAACATTGAATTCCTTTCTAAATGTTTTGGTTCCACTGTTACTGAGATCATCTTCTGAAAGTTTCCTTGAACCTAGAGACTAAGGATAAATAACACCCCCCCCCCCATAAACACATTTAATGCATTCCAGGATAACATTGGTTTTTGGATTAATTCTGGGCATTAATCGCTGTATGCCAGCGTGGCAAATAATTAACAAAGAAAACAAGGGCACTAAACAGGAGCCTCAGTAATTCCTTTTAAAAATTTGGTAGCATAAAATATTTATAAAGATCTCCCCCCCCCATGAGAATTAAACTATCTGATCCTTACAAGCAATATCCTATCTTATGAATTTGCTGATAGTGATATTGATTATTCCTTTTATATACAACGGTATTTAAGCCCTTATAACTCTTGACTTTTTCAAAGTGTTCATAGATTAAAAAACGTATACATTTAAAAATCTTACCTTAACAAACTCAGGCACCCCAGGACAGCTCAGTTCTTGAGCTGAGAAAAAAAATGCATCCTTTGAAGCACTTTCAGATATGGTCATATCACTTTGTGGATCCTTTTTGTGATATGAACAGCGTTCTCTTGTCATCATCTCACTAGCTGCTGAGCCTTTCACCTGGTGTCCGTGAAATTCAACTACCTTTATGCATTTAATGGAACAGATATTGTAAAGCAATGCTATTTATTGACCAAAAAATAAGCACCCAAAAAAAAAATATTTGCAAGGATATGTCATATTTGTTCATTTTGTTAAGCATAACACCAAACTGGCCTTATGGTTTAAGCATTTGAGTGTTTTTAATTTTAAATTTCCAAAGTTGCAGTTTTTACTTTATACTGAAACTTGATTCAGAAATAGAATTCTATCGAAACACGTTGTTACATCACATCTGCAAAGTGTTTTAGTTCATTATTTAATTTGATGTATGATGAAATTCATCAAAACATAAGCGTCTTTAGATTTCAATTGAGAACTCCTAACCTCATTTGATGACTAGAGTGACTTTGATGTTACAGAAATAACTTGAAATATTTAGAAATGTACAGCAAAAGGCTGAAGTAACTTTTTTGTCTTCTATTGCACTACAAAAAGTCAAAAGTCACCATTTTTCCCCTCTTCCTTTTTTCTGCATCCCTCTTCCTTCTTTAACTTCCCTAAATTTTGTTTCTAATTGTATTTTATCTTTTTACCAGTGCATAAGGAACAAGATGGAAAATGCCAGCATATAGCAAAATTCAATACGTGGTGTAAAGGGGAAGGCTTTGGTTATATTAGTCATGACGTCTGCAGCTGGTCCAATGAAAAAGTGTACAAAACAGATGGCTTGCATCCATCAAAGAAAGGGACTGAGTTACTCGGCAATAAATTCACAGATTTTCTGGAGAAATATTTAAACTGAACAATGGGGACAGTGAGTTAATTGATACAGAACATTCCTGTCCCCGGCAAATTATAGGGTTATCAGTGCATGTAACAGGGGTGTGTGTGGACAAGTATATAAATCTAGCTGTCAAGCAAAATCAAGCTTTTAATAATGAGTGCCATACCAAGTGCACTAATCAAACAGGTGATAAGAAAATAAGGGAACTCAGGCACCACACAGGTTATGTAGAAAGTAAACATGGGGTCAATCATAAAGGGCTCAAATATCTATACACCAACACACGGAGTATGAGCAATAAACAGGGTGAACTAGAAATTCAGGTAAATGAGGGCAGATATGATATTGTTGCCATTACGGAAACTTGGCAGGATGAAACCCACAAATGAAACACACAGCTAGAGGGATTTAAATTATTTAAAAGAAACAGACCAAATAAAAGAGGAGGTGGAATTGCTCTCTATATAAGAAATAACTACATATCTACAGAAATAGAGCACAACGATGAAAACTGTCTCGAATGCATTTGGGTCAATATAAAAGGGTAAAAAATGACATGGCCATAGGTGTATATTATAGGCCACCCAACCAAACAGAGGAAATAGATGAACTTTTTGCTAGTCAGCTATCTAAGATATGTAGGAAGCACATCACAATAGTAATGGGGGACTTTAATTACCCTGACATCAACTGGGAAACAAACTCTGTACCAAGTGGAGGATCAAACAGATTCCTGATAAACCTAGCAGACAACTTTGTCTGCCAAAAAGTAGAGAAGGGAACTAAGGGATCAGCCATATTGGACCTAATTCTCATTAACAGAGATGAAATGATAGGTGTTGAAGCCACAGGAACCTTGGGGGGGGAGTGATCATGCAATATTGGAATTCAACATTATGTAAGCAAAAGCAATAGAAAAAGTCAAACTAGAGTCTTGGACTGTAAGAGAGCTAATTTCAATAAACTTAGAGAGCTTGGGAAGGATTCCACGGATGAGAATCCTCAAGGGGAAAACAACTCAAGAAGCTTGGGAAATTTTGAAAAGTGAGATTATAAAAGCCCAGTCTAGCACAATATCAACAAAGAAGAAAAATAACAGCTCTCAAAAGAAATCAGCATGGCTGAATAAAGAACTCTCTGATAAATTGAAAGACAAAAAGGACAAGTATTAAAGTGGAAAGAGGGGCACATAACTAAGGCAGAATATCAGCAAATAGCCCGAGCCTGCAAAGATGAAGTGAGGAAAGCTAAGGCTCAAAACGAACTAAGGCTTGCGACAAAAGTCAAAAATAAAAAAAGCTTCTTTCAACATGTAAAAAATAAGACAAAAGTTAAGGAAATGATTGGTCCATTAGCAGGAGAAAGTGGCAAGAAGGTGACAAGCAACAGGGAGAAAGCAGAACTCTTTAATTCTTTTTTTGCATCCGTCTTTACACAAAGGGAAAAAACAGGCCAATCTATCAAACATAGTACCATAAGAAATAGATTAGAAACACAAATTAAGATAGGTAAGAAAATGGTAAGTGAGCACCTGTCCACCCTAGATGAGTTCAAATCACCAGGACCAGATGGATTACACCCCAAGGTTCTGAAGCAACTGGCAGATGTGATCTCAGAACCACTATATCTTTCAAAGACCCTGGAGCACTGGGAAACTACCAGAAGATTGGAAAAGAGCTGATGTAGTTCCCATCTTCAAAAAAAGAAAAAAAAATGGATCCAGGAAACTACAGACCTATCAGCCTGACCTCAATACCTGGGAAGATTCTGGAAAAGATAATCAAGCAACGAATCAGCAAACACCTAAAGGCAAACAAAGTCATTACCAAAAGCCAACATGGGTTTGTCAAAAACAAATCATGCCAGACAAATCTTATTGCATTCTTTGACCAAGTGACAAAATTAATGGACCTGAGAAATGCTGTGAATATAATTTACCTGGACTTCAGTAAGGCATTTGATAGAGTAGAAAGAAAAATGTGAGTTAGACAGTATCACCACCAGATGGATTCGTAGCTGGCTGACAGGCTGTACTCTAGCATGTGGTCTTCAATGGAATTGCATCTACATGGAAGGAAGTGTGTAGTGGGATGCCCCAGGGCTCTGTTCTGGGCCCAGTGCTCTTCAACATCTTCATCAATGATTTGGATGAGGGGATAGATGGGGAACTCATCAAATTTGCAGACGACACCAAGCTGGCAGGAATAGCCAACACTCCAGAAGATAGGCTTAAGATACAGAAGGATCTTGACAGACTTAAACACTGGGTGCTAACTAACAAAATGAAATTCAATGGTGAAAAAAGTAAGGTTCTACATTTAGGCAAGAAAAACCAAATGCACAGGTATAGTATAGGTGGTAGCTTGCTCAATAGTAATAACTGTGAGAGGGATCTTGGAGTCCTAGTGGACAATCACTTAAATATGAGCCAGCAGTATGCTGCAGCTGCCAAAGAAACTAACACAGTGCTAGGCTGCATTAACAGAGGGATAGAATCAAGATCATGTGAAGTGTTAATACCACTTTACAATGCTGTAAGTAAGGCCACACTTGGAATGCTGCATCCAGTTTTGGTCACCACAATATAAAAAAGATGTTGAGATCTAGAAAGAGTACAGTGAAGAGTATCAAAGATGATTAGGGGACTGGAGGCTAAAACATATAAGGAATGGTTGCTGGAATTGGGTATGTCTAGTTTAATGAAGAGAAGGACGAGGGGTGACATGATAGCAGTGTTCCAATATCTCAGGGGTTGCCACAAAGAAGAGGGAGTCAAGCAATTCTCCAAAGTACCTGAAGGCAAGACAAGAAGCAATGGATGGAAACTAACCAAAGAAAGAAGCAACCTAGAACTAAGGTGAAATTTCCTGACAGAACAATTAATCAGTGGAACAACCTGCCTTTAGAAGCTGTGAATGCTGCAACACTGGAAGTTTTTAAGAAGAGACTGGACAGCCATTTGTCTGAAATGATATAGGGTTTCCTGCCTGAGCAGAGGATTGGACTAGATGACCTCCAAGGTCCCTTCCAACTTTATTATTATTATTATTATTATTATTATTATTGTTGTTGTTGTTGTTGTTGTTGTTGTTGTTGTTACAGTAAACTTTAATAAAATATGTTTTTGAGAGAATTTCTACCCTAAAAAGGTGTCATAGGAAATTTTTTAAAATGCATAATTTTACCTATGATTAATGAATCCTATACCTTTTAAATCCCTTGATCTGGTTATAAGACAAATTAATTAATAAACTACTACTTTTAAATCATTACCTCAAAATCACTTTTAACATGAGAATGTTTTATTTCCAATACAATATCTTATAATACACAATATGGATTTAAAAAAACAAGTTTAACTGGCTGGCTTTTATTTTGTTTTAGGTGGCAATTATGGCATTTAAAAAAATAAAATGTTAAAATTAGTACATTCCATTTATTCATTTTTGGTATGTGGGATCTTGTCCCCATCTCCTTTGTAATAATATGATATCTAGTTAATAGAAAAATCACAGCAATATAAAGTTAATGCTCAGGCAATAATTATTTAATGGAAACTCATGTGTAAATTTATAGACAAAAAAGTGAAACAAATTTAGTTTTTAGGCTTTCCAGAAGTTAAACAATTACCTAGTCATCCCAAAATGAACTTACTATTTGTAATTGCTAGAATCAGACTACAGAGCAATCTAATGTATATCCAAGCACTTTTGTATATAAATTGGAGTTTTATCTTGCTTTAATCCTATATCTCTTTTCTCTGCACCAACAGCAATATTTCAGTGTCTTTTAAATTTTGAAAAATATATAGCTGTAAGCACAATTAAAACTTCAGAATGTGGGTATATTTTGCTTATCGTTACTAATTCTTATAACTTTTAAAGAATGAGACAATGAATTATTAATTTGTTCAATTGCAAAAATTGTCATTTGATGTTTGTTAATTCTTACATTCATTGGTGAGCCCTGAGCAACAATAACCTTACTCAATTTCATCTAATATCTATCATACCCAGGAAGTGAAGCTTCTCTATCACAGTGAAGTCCCCCCCACCACCTTCCCACTCCCGATGGCTCCTATCCTACTGGTGTTTCAGAGGGTCCAGGCTTTTGGCTAGGGAGTTTGAAGCTCCTTTTGAGTAATGTTGCTCAGTTTTGCTACCTTTTTGCTCTTTGCCTTTATTGGTTTTTTTTTTTCATGCTTTTAACTTTATGATTCACCCAGAGTATCTGGCAGTGTCACATTTAGTAAGCAACACTAATGACATAATATCTATCTATCTATCTATCTATCTATCTATCTATCTATCTATCTATCTATCTATCTATCTATCTATCTATCTATCTATCTACCTACCTACCTACCTACCTACCTACCTACCTACCTACCTACCTACCGCTCAAGCCAACACTTCTTCTCATATAGGAGATTGAAGATTTTTTTCATCAACAAAACCTTGCTCTGGGGAGAATCCCCAGACAATGAAGTGAATTTTAGGACTCTAAAGGCCTGCAGGCAGGACCATAACTAGTTAGTAAGGAAAATGCAGATAGAAAAGTCTCCTTAAAGTGCGCTATGTAGCACACAGATTAAAGCCATTATAATTGGTGATGATGGTTGCACAGTCAGCCAGATATTTAAACTGGGTTTTGAATTTTTATTATGATACAACATCAAAAGAAGATTACCAAATTTGTTGAGTCAGAATGCAGGCAAGGTATCTGCTCATCTTCAGAACAAAATGCTTCAGCAAAACTTTGTTTAACTACCAAAGAGGAGGGGGGAAGAAACAATGAACTTCAGTCATCAGGCTAAATCAATATGTGTATGTCTGTTGTGGATTAATGTTTTTGCATATATGAATATGTCAGACATGTATTCATTTTGGTAGAATTAGTCAGAATAACAACAGGTTAAATTGTTAAATTCACAGTTATAGAAGAATTGCTAGAGCTAAAAATTATTAGAAACAGAAGAAATAAAAAAACTTTTCAACAATAATATATTTGAAAAAAATCTAACATCAGTTATTAACTTAATTAAGAAAAACAAAAATGTAAAAATCACTTACAAATGGTATTACCAATCACATTATGCCAAGAGCAACTCTTTTTAAGTATGTATTTTTTTTTAAAAAAAGCTCTAGCTTGGATATAAATTTGGCTTTGTAGGTCTGAAAAAACTAAGGACTCCCCTTTTGCTTTCCCAGCTTGGAGTCTCATGTTCTGGGGATCCTCAGATTAAGATTATGATATAGGACAATTCCTCTCCTCCTTTAAAAATATTCATCTTCCGTGAGTAGAGATTGGAAGGCCTGCTATAAAGAAGCAGAAGCCAGGAAGTTCATGTCCACCAGTCCAATGATAAACATCTAAATTTAGGTCAGCTCAGTTCTGCCACATAACAAAGTAAAGCTTATTGTCAACATCTATTGGTATTTTTGATATGAGACGAGCCTTTGAGAATATCTAAAACAGAGGTCTCCAACCTTTCTCGGTTGGCGGACCAGAGGGAAAGGGAACCATTCTACGTATGCATGTGCACAAATGGGACCGCAAGCACACACGATGCAAATGGGGACTCGCTAGCACTGCTTCATTTTTGCTGCGTAGCGCTAACACCGCCCCATTTTTGCTGCACGGCGCTCCATTTTCACTGCATAATGCCTCGTTTGCGTAGCAGCGGTGGCGCTAGTGTGAGTGGAGGTGAGTGCACACACACATGTGCGTGCACTGGCCAGCCTGTTCCGTGGCTTGGTGGCCAGCAGGCTACAGACCAGTAATGGGCCGTGGCCCACAGGTTGGGGACCCCTGATCTAAAATAACCCCCATAAATTGAGATTTAGATCTTATGACAAATTATAAGAATGCTTTTCATATACTGAATTCATGTTAAGAATCAGAGTTATATCATCTTTTTAGTGATCACCACTTTCAGAGAAACCTGAGAAAAAAATGAGAAATTTGTTTCGTGTGCTCTGCTTTTCAGATGAGACAGGGAAAAATGGTTTTATATCACCTCTTTGGGGAGATGGGTGGCATAGTAATTTAATAAATAAATGACAGAAACTAAAAATAGAACTTAGTCTGAGAATGTTTCATTTGCTTCTTACAGCAAATGTTTTGATAAATAATGCAACATTTCTGTTTTGAAATTTAATAGTTTTTACAATACTTTTGCAGTCATTATTATGACCATGTCACAAATAAAAGGATGGAGAAGAAACACAGAAGCTTGTCCAATAACAGCACCTATAAAAAAATTCAGTTGTAGGCAAAAGTTTACACTTTTAATTTATTCCAGTATTAGATATTTTGACGTTTTAAGCAGATGTACGCCGCTTTAAGAGTAATTTCATGAAAAATATAATAAAACAAGAAATAATTTTCTTTTCCCAAAATGAATTAGTAAAAGTAAAATTGTTAACTGATTAGTGAAAGATTTTAATTTTAAATGTTATTAATCAACAGTGCAAAATTGCAAAAATATTACACAAATCATATCTAGTTTTCTGAAAATTAAAGTAACTATAGCCTCTCTCTACAAAATACTTTCACAGTAAAGATATTTTGCAACATTTCTAAAATTCAGGTAGGGAAAAAGGTAGGTACATTAGTGAAAAAATACTTCAAACTATATCATATTACAGAATTAAAAGCAACAGCCTTTTTCTATTAATCTCACTCTGGGTGCATTGGCTTCCTAAGGTCATAATATGTTCAAAAACAGACTAATAAATCTGAAACCACTTACCAACTGAGGAAGGATAAGAATCAATAGCTGAGGGGTAATATAAACTGAAATCTTTTTCTTCATTGGATTTGTTTTTTTAAAAAAATGAAAATACATTGTGCATCTTCTAATTATAAAGTTTACTCATATGCTATTTTTAAGGAGTAACTAACTTAAAAAACATTTTTTAATGTTTGTTTGAAGTGCACTGGGGAAAAACATCAGAACTTTTGTTACATTTTATTGAAAAGAATTATTTTGTTACCATAACTATGTTTCAATACCTGTATTTTATAAACATTATTTTTATTTGCAAATATATGAAGCAGCAAAAATATATGGAATGTTACTTTTTCTATTCTAAGTTAATTAAGTGTAATACTCACTATCATGTATTTCACAGTCCACATCATTTTCCATTACAAAGTTTCTGCTAGCACAAGGCAATTGCTGGTGAACATCCATATTCTGAGCGTATAATGTATTTGTGTCTATCTTCTCATTAATCAAAACCTCTGAATTTTGCCATTTTTTGTCCCAAAGAGTTGTACTCTTTTCTTTAATGTTGACAGGCTTTGCAGAAATTTCATCACAAAGGAGTACTGGCTGCAATCCTGAGCTCCCGAACTCTTGATCTTGTAGAAATTCTAATTGTACATTGTCTTTCCTTTCACTACAGCATGGTGTTACATCACAGTTTTTTTCAGCACTGACCTCAACTTGATTTTTAATTTCTTGCCTTAGGCATACAGAACCTTGTGAAACAATGTTGTTCTCATTAGGGTTATTATCTTCTGTGTCACTAAAATCCAGCATATTTAAAAGATTAAAGTTAACCTCTGTTAACTGTTTTCCTGGATTTGCAAAGTCAGCACCTGGGCAACTCCTTTCCAAATTACCAATGATTCCATGTCTGCTTGATTCTGATGAGTCTTCAAATGTTTTAGGTGCATTTCCACAGCTCAAATTGACATTATGAAGTGAACTTAATTCAGAGTTATTGCTTTCATTCATGAAGGTTTCACTTGGGAAAAAGTCAGATGGCCGACTTCCAATAGAACCTTTACTAACAGGAAAAATATCAAGTTTCCAAGAAGAAGGCATTTGTGGAATTCCTTTATGGTCGTTGTATTGGCTTCTGTTTACACAGTCACTCTCATTTAAGCCCTTTTCAATTGATTGCAAATTGCTAGTATTTTCTTCGTTGTTTTCTGCATTGTGTGCATCAGATAAACATGATGGCATGTAAGCATCCCATCGGCTTTTTCTTTGCAATAAAACTTCTGGGTTGGATTCTGATTGTAACATTGTAAACTGTAGGTTTTTCAGTGAGGCAGTAGTCTCACTTTCTAGTCTCGTGGAAACACGTTGGTCATGACTCAAAAGTGCTATAATTTTATCTCTGCTTCGAATGTTCTGTGAAAATGCATGATATCCTGAATTGACCAGTGCATTTTCTAACTGAAATTTTGGCTTCAAATATTCAATAGCTAAACTATTGCTATTACATTTTTTATTCTGTACTAGCTCATGTTCATCATCTAAAGAAGTAGAAGCCAGAAAACTAACAGGCTCCACATCTTCCCTATTTTGGCAAGGAACAGAAAATAAAGGAGAAGAGGCATAAAATTGGTGGGGGAAGGATGAAAGAGGACTGTCAGATGTAGATGGCAATGCAGGTTCTTCCACTAACTTTTTCTTTTCCACCTGACGTGGTACTTGGAAACCCTGGAAGAATATTTTGTATGCATGGCAAGTTTAATAAATATCAATCATGAACATATCACTTATAACATGCTTACTATACAATAAAACTGTACAAAGTATTTAAAAAAGCATTTTTCAAAAAAAGAACCTTCCACAAAGCACTGAGGCAACAGAGTCCGCTAGAAGGTCCAACATAGCTACTGGAAAGATTTTGTCTGAATATTCAAAGACCATCTAGATTAGAAAAACCTTTATAGTGGCAGCAATGAATTTTACAGAGGAAATCTTTTCTCAGTGCTTTAACAGGCACTACTTTGGTCATGCCAATGTATTTTACAAAAGAACTTCAATTCTTTTCAGTATTTATAACTGAATAACAGAACTTAAATGGGGGTTTATTTTCTTTTAAAAACCAAGTGCAATTCACTCTTATATTTCTATAAAGTGCAATTCATGAAAGTTAGAAGTATGTTTCAGCTGTGAAGCCAAATTAAGGTGACTGGAAATAATATTACTAATACAATAGCAGCAATGATATTGCATCAATCAATCAATCTAATATAAATTTTTCATATTTAACTGTCGGCAAAGTAGTTCAGACAACTGATTAATATTCACATATGGTAGCATCCATACAGCTCGTACACCATACTACAGTTCGCTTTTATTCATTTTCTTTTGCTGATCTAACAGCATGTATTATACCTCCTGCTATGAACACTCATAATCAGGGTTATTGCCAGTATGAAATGCAGTGGATTATTTGAATTATTTCACATCTAATATAAATAATACTGCAGATGGTAGGGAACAAAAATCACTGGCAGTACAGATAGTTCTCAAGTTAAAACCATACTTGAGCCCTGCAATTACAGCCATAACGTGTGAGGTTTGTAAAGCAGACCCACTTTATGACCTTTTGGTACTGGTTGTTAAGCAAACCCACTGTTTGCAATGGGGCATTTTTTTTGCTGTAAACCAAAAATAAATGCTGGTTTCTCGCAAAAACATTGTACTTTTGGCCATGTGACCACAAGGCATCAGAAGTGGCAGTAAATGCAGGCTAGTTACCCAGCATCCAAAATGCAGTCACATGACTGCAATCCACCCCTCAACGACTTTGGAACTGTGAGACTGGGTCATGAGTCCCTTTTTCAGGGTCTGCTGTAACCTTAAACAGTCACTAAGTGTAGGGTGTGCAGACATGGCTGATTATAGGTAGTCTTCAACTTATGATCATTCATTCAGCAATCATTATGATGGCGCTGAACAAACAGTGGTTACAACTTGTCTTCAGAGTTTTGGCTGTCACAGCACCCTGCGATCATATGACCACCATTGGCAACTTTCCCTGCCCGCTTTCTCAGAAAGTCAATGGGGAAGACAGCAGGGAAGGTGACAAGTTGCTGGGGTAAGTGACCGCCATCCAGAGACCCCGATTGGCTCCTTTGTGCTTCTGCCACACTGGCCATGTGCAGCTCTGCACACTCTCCCCACCACTCCTGCATCCCGGCCTTCCCAAAGCTCATCTCTCCCACAGCCAATTACACCAGCTTGCCAGTCTGCTTGCAAACCACCTGAGACTTGCACTTCCTGCTAGCTTCTCCATTGACTTGATTGGGGAATGCTGGCAGAACTTGCCTCTCCTAATAACTATGCAATTCATTAAGAATGGCAACTGGGAATGCAAGGATTACTGTTGCTAAGTGATGCAGTTACACTTTACAAATGCATCACTTAGTAATGGAAATTCCAGCTCAACTGCCAATACCAATAATGACAAACACAAAATTTGCTACTGAATTAGAATTTACTTAAGTGATCAAGTTCCAAAGGGGAAAAAGGTGATTTAAAGTGAGCATGGGTACCTATGTGGCACCTATTAGCACCTGCTTATAGCAAATGTATCTTGTGGGAGGCAATGCACAAACAGAGGAAAAGATATAGACAGTCCTCACCTTATGTCCACAATTGGAACTAGAACTTCCATCGCTAAGCAATCTGGTCATTGAGTTGCACCTGATTTTATTACTTTTTTTTGTCATGTTCATTAAGTGAATCACAGTTGTTCAGTAAATCTAAGGTGTCCCATTGACTTGGCTTATTGGTATGTCCCTGTGAAGGTCCTAAATGTTCATCACATGACTTCAGGACACTGCAACTATTGGAAATACATACTGGTTGCCAAGAGCCCAAATTTTAATCATGTGATACAAGAGTGCTGCGACAGTCATAAGTGTGAAGACAGATCATACATCACTTTTTACAGCATTGTTACAACTTCAAATTGTTGTTGAGGACCACCTGTAATGATTCCTTAAAGATCTGATAAGTACTATTTGAGAATTCCTGAATAACCCATATCACCTTTTTTCTTTCAAACCCAGATCACTGTACGATCTTATCAAGTGTTAAAAGTATCAAAGAAAGAGAAAAGACAACATACAGAATATTTTCGCTTTGGATGGCATAGGGATGAAGTAGCAAGGGATTTCAAGGGATTGCTTGTTAATTTTCGCTGTCCTGTGTTCTTTGACTGATTATAATCAGTTTTAGAAACATTTTCACTTTCTATAGTGATTAAATATCGTTCAGATTCAAAGTCATCACCAGGTTTTATCTAAAGAAATGGATACAAAATATTTTTAATTTCAGCACATTTATATAACTTTGCAGTATGTTAATGCTGCTTCTCTATTGCATTCTTTAAGCATATCTAGGTAAACTTGATTCCACATAATATTCGCTGAATATTTTAAGCATTTATATCTTTTAGATTATTTAATGCATTATCGTTTTCCCTGAATTTTAGTGATAATTACTGAAAATATATAACTACTGAAAATATACTTGTTTGAAAGACAGACTTTTGCTGTTCAGTTAGGTCACTGCAAAATGTATGAATGGGAAAAAGACAGTTTACTATGCATTGGTTTAGAAAAAGCCTAACTGCCACTGTTTCAACTGTCTTTTAGGAAAAATAAGATTACTTTTTTGAGTGTCCTATTGAGTGAATGCCATCTGCATTGTGTCTGCAGAGGTATGAGAGTCACGACTCCAATATTCCCAAGAGTTGGCAAGATTTAATACTTGTCTCCACTGAACTTAGATCAGTTCCTCAAAGTTGAACGCCTCAAGTGACATCAATTTAACCCAATCTTCTTACTGGGAAGTACATAGAAGATAGGAATTTCTGAATCAAAGGAGAAAGGAATCAAAGGCTTTGCATTATAGCTATGACATCAGCCAAGATGATAGTCAAAAATGTCATGGATGAGCTGACAGGATCCAAAGAAACAAGGATGTGACAGGCAACGCTAATCATGCATTTTGACTGAAGTAAGTTAAAAATTAAGGTGTAGACTTGATCAAAGTGTGCAATCACCATAAGAAAATTAAAATACCAAAATATCTCACTGGGCTAATGGAAAACTTTTACAGAAAGTCAGTTTGGATGGAACAGGGTGAAACAGATTGGTGTCAGGTCAGCAATGGTCACATGATTTTGACAACTGGCTTATTATCACTTGCAGTCAATTTGCAATGTTTTTTGCTGGGTTTCCAGCAAAAATCCCCACACCCATTCAAAATATTTGTTTTACAAAAATCCTGACTCACTTTACAACCAACATAAAAAGGGTCATAAAATCAAATCTGATAATGTGGTGGCTTACCATCACAACAACTTGTAAGCAAAATTCTGGACTCCATTTTGGTCATAAGTTCAGAACAATCTGCACTAAACAAATAAAAATAAAGCACAAATACCTGAAATTTTATGAAAATACTATCCAAAAGCTGTCCTTTATCATCAAATAAGTTTGCCTGTAAACAGATGGTGGATATTTCATTAGGTACAGATATAAATGGATTAACAGATATAAAACTGCTGACACTATACCACCAAACTGAACCTACATATTTACCTTATTTCCTCCAAATGCGACCTTCAAAATTCCATCTTGCCACACTTTAGATTTTTTAGTTTTCTGATGTGTGTATAAAACCTATATTGATATGTGAAAATATGTTCTTGATTACTATTTCAGTATTTATATTTTTATTTCATGATATATTTAATGTATGAAATATTATTGAAATAAATAAAGATTATAAACTCACAATAAATTCCTGATAAGCCATTATTCTGGCATTCTAAGATCATACCACCTGCTTTCACTTCCAAACATCACATCATCTGCAAAAGGAAACATCCTGTTAAAATAACATCTCTAAACATTTATTACAGTTTATACATTTCCTTTTATACTGTTTGCTTAACAATATAGGAGGAATATGAATTCTCTGGTTCAGAAGGTGATTTGCATGTGTTCATCTAGAAATCCCAGTTTCAATGAAAATTATTATGGAGCAAATATTTTTAAAATTGCAACCAAGCAGTGCATTACCATAAGCACTTCTTCAGAAATAAATCTTGTTTTAAATGAAGATATTTAAATTTATATAGGAATATAGCTTCAGCTACATGATGTCTCTTAAACTGCAATTTATTCTGAGTTTTTTAGAAAAGATTTTTTTAAATTTTGTTGTTTTTAACAAGTGTAATCTAATACATTCCCTCAATATGTTCAATTCCATGTAATGACCACAAGATGTCTCACTTAAATGTTTCTCAGAAAAACTTTGTAATTATGTAATGAGATTAATAATCAAGCTAATTGATTATTTAAAAAATCACAGAACAAATACATCCAGAGTTTTCATGACCAGGCTTAAATTATATATCAGACACATTCCTTTGATGCTGGAAAAGGTGAAAGAAAAGAGAATAGGCCTGATACAGCAGCAATGGGTGACCACTGAAGGCCTGAAGGTCCAGTTTGGGAAGACATTATCCTGGAGAAGGCCTGCCTATGTGATCACTAAGGGTCATTACTAACTTGATACCAGTAGCATATAATTACTAGAGATTAGACTTGCTAAATCTAATATAAACAGTATATATCTATACTTCTAGTCATTATTGCAACCTATTTTTTATTTTACCCTGAACTCTAAACATGCCTGACATTGTTGCTCCCTGTTTTAATTTGCTAATCTCATTTTCATCCTGCCCTTATCAACAAATTATGACATTAAACTACAGTTCTGACACTTATTCATTACATTTCTATCATGCTTTTTTCCCATGGAGTTATGGATGACTTTTATGTCATTCTTTTTTATGTCATCCGTTTATGTCATGAGAGGCAGTTTGGTCTAGTCATGGTTAAGGCACCAGGCTAGAAAGCAAAAGACTGTGAATTCAAGTCACGCCTCAGCCACGAAAACCAGTTGGGTAACCTTGAGCCAGTCCTTCTTTCTCAGCCCAACTCATCTCACAGGGTTGTTGTTGTGGGGAAAATAGGAGGAGAACATACTGGATATGTTCACCATCTTGAGTTATTTGTGAAAATAATAAAGGCTAGATATAAATAAATAAAAGTCTCCTCTACTGCAAAATGCTTCTATGGAACAATGGTTATATGGATTAAATCCCTGAGAAACAGGCAAGTTTCTGGCAGCAACCCTTCGTGCACTGAATTTCTTTAGGTTGAGTGGGAATGAGACTCAAATGCAACATGGGCAGTGGTGGGATTCAAATATGTGAACAACCAGTTCTCTGTGTGGATGCAACTTCCGGAAGTCCATTCTGGGCCTGGGCAACAAAAAATTAGTTATCAGTTTTGCTGAACTGATGCAAACTGGCTGAATCCCACCACTGAACTGTGGGCATAGCTATTACATACTGCAGCAGAATTTCATCTTTTTTTTGAGGTAATGGAAGGCTTTTCAAACAAAGTCGTCTTAAACCTATTTATGACCTATGCTACAGTGTTTAGGGCAGGGGTAGGCAACCTTGGCTCTTTTATGACTCGTGGACTTCAACTCCCAGAATTCCTGGCTCAGGAATTCTGGGAGTTGAAGTCCACGAGTCATAAAAGAGCCAAGGTTGCCTACCCCTGGTTTAGGGGCTTCCTATCACACCATAACAAGAAACTGCGCCGTTGATTTTCAGTAATTACTGGAGTTAAATTCAGCCATGCTGAGAGGGGCTCTGGGGACCATTTATTGCTCACCCCTGCCTTAAAAAATTGCCATCCCAAGTTAACATAGCTTTGAACCCTGCAGAGGTAAGAAGATATGAGAACTGGGTGAATCCCTTGTCTCTTTTTCATTAGAGCAGTGTTTCTCAACCTTGACAATTTTAAGGCATGTGGACTTCAACTCCCAGAATTCCACAGCCAGCAATGCTGGCTGTGGAATTCTGGGAGTTGAAGTCCACATGCCTTCAAATTGTCAAGGTTGAGAAACACTGCATTAGAGGCTAACAGAAAGAAACGGCACCCAGATCTGAAGTTACACCATTTTAGAAGAGTATAAAACGAATCATACCTACTGACGGATCTATATACCACACTCCTCAGCCAGGTTGACAAAAGGGCGCCTAGAAGCTTGAAAACCCTCAGCTTGTTCACAAGCCCCGGGGATGGCACAGGCAACCGCCCCCCCCAACCTCTCAGCAGAAAGTTCCTTACGAAAGTTCCCGCTCCACAAGCTCGATGACGTCTCTACGATGCGACAAATACCATAGAGACAAAAATGCTGCACTGTCATGATCTCCGACTCCCATATGGACCTTAAAGTACAGCATTGGGGAGCTTTAAACCATAAAGTTGATAAGGGTAGAGCGGTGGTAGTGTGAGCTTAGAGACGGAAGGAGGCGAGGACTGCCGTTTTATTCTTATATATTAGGAAGGAGCTCTGATGAATTTAACCTGAAATCAAGGTCGAGTCCTGGTGGCAGTAGCCACTGTGCATGTCTTTGCCACAGCCTTTTCCTGATTTTTATTCTCAGTCTAGTGAAAGCATGAAATCCCCATCCAAATCTTACTTGGGTCAGCTTTGTTTAGTTTCCAGGATCAATCAGTTCATGCCTTTTTTAAACCACGTGGTAGATAGATGAAAATACTGTTTATTTTATCATGCGTGTATTATAAGTTTTTCAAAGCAAACATGTCTTAATATTTCTCTATTTTACCCTCACTCCCTGTAAAGTGAGTCTGCTTGAGGGAGCGACTAGCCCTGGACTAGCCCAAAGTCACCCAATTCTCTGATCTTTCTGACTGGAATTCTATCCCAATTTCCAGTGATATACAGTCAACGCGCTTGCATTATTGACGCTAAAAGCCATCTTCTTGTTACCGACTGATTTTTAGTAGCGGTTTTCAAACTTGCCCACTTTAAAAGGTGTGACTTCAATTCCCAGAATTCCTCAGCCAAGTTTGAAAAAATCGCTCTTCTAAAACAGAGACGCGTATGAGCGGCACGTTTAAACTTTTTGTATCTCTGTGGATCCGTAACGGGAATTGGGTACAAATCTTCGTCAGCCAATGAAATCCTGGAAGAGCAAGCGTTTAATCTTGCGTTGGTGACGGGGCGGAGGATCGGGTCTTCCAGCGGTTTAAGACTATGACGTTACTCTGAACCCCTCATCCTGGTACAGGTCCTTTCGAGAGCACGTGGGTACGAAGGGGGTGTGCGTGGAGGGGGGGGTTACTTAACGCCTTCGCTTCCCTCGCGCACGAGAACCTGAATCCAGGAGCCAGATCGGCAAGGCGCGTGCTGAGCGGGGGGGCGGGGGCGGGGCGGGCCCGTGAATGAGCCCTTTTAACCGTCTAGATCAGGGGTAGGCAACCTCGGCTCTTTTATGACTCATGGACTTCAACTCCCAGAGTTCCTGAGTCAGCATAGCTGACTCAGGAATTCTGGGAGTTGAAGTCCATGAGTCATAAAAGAGCCGCGGTTGCCTACCCCTGGTCTAGATGGTTACGCTGCTGACGTTATCTGGAGGCGCGCTTGCAACGGGCTGTGGGGAACGGTGGCTCCAGTGTGTGAGGGTTGCTGCCGCTGCTGCTGCTGCTGCTGTGATCTGCTTTCCGGCGGAGTAGCTCGGGGTGCCGTAGAGGGCTTTACCCGCAACCCGAAGAGTTGGTGAGATTCTTAGGTTTAGACTTGGCACTCCTCGCTTAGTGTCCTCCGGAAACGTTGTGCTGTCGCTCCCGTCACTCGCAGACTAGAAGCCTTTGCCGGCTGCAGAGTCCGGTTAGTTCTGGGGAGCCCCAAGGGGAGGCAAGGGCTCTGCAACTTCTTTGGGATCTTCAATGCTCGGCCCTGTCTTTGCTCAGGAGGAGGCAACAGCCGCTTCTCCTCTTCTCCCTTTTCCAGAATTCGTATAGTTAACTTTAGCATTTGTGGAAGCAGAGACTTAGCTTTTTGATGGTGAATTTTATACATTAATTTATGGAGCGAGCTGCACATTCATATATTGAAAAGTAAAAGATCTTAATAAGAAATGTTGCATCAGCGTTGTATGTGTTTGCCCACTTGGGAAACTGTGGTTTTCCTTTGGAGTTAATAATATATTTGCTCATATACTTGTCTGTCTTGCAAATATAACAAGAACTGCTTTCTTTGTGTTTTATAATAAATGCATTATCTGCTGAGTATTGCCCTATTGTTTTGTCAGAATGCTATATTTTAGAAAAAAAAAATAAAATGCAGGAATATGGAATAGCAAACTACTACTGAAAATTTCCAGGCTGTTATTCTTTTAATAGCTTCATATTTGCAAATTTAGTCCTTTGTTGTTTCCCACTGAGCAGCCATCTCCAATTTTGCTCCCTTCTACATATATTTTCTAAGAAAAATATCAATTCTTAAAATTACTTTGCTAATTAACATGTTATGTAATGTAAGTGTAAAGTAGATGGATTTATGTTGAATATTACAATTATGCTTTATTTTCAGATGACGGTGGGCTAGAATGGAGACAGAAAATATAAGAAGCAAAATTATGGAGAAAGAAACTACTGAACAAAGAAAGGAACGAGAAAAAAAGAAAAGATCTAGAGTAAAGCAAGTGCTTTCAGATATAGCAAAACAAGTTGACTTCTGGTTTGGTGATGTTAATCTTCACAAAGACAAATTTCTGAGAGAACAAATAGAAAAATCTAGAGATGGATGTAAGTCTGCTTGTTTTAAACTAGCAATAACAATACAATATTACTGAAATTCATTTATATATTAAATTTATATAGCCACCCAATTCAAACATGGTTAACTCCCTGGTGGCTTAGAGCGTTCTTGAAAAATAGTTTCTATTGGTTATATACACATACATACATATACATTATTATAGATATCTGTATCAACTACAGATTTAATTTATTTAAAAACAACTGGCCCTCTGCTGCTTTTCTGACTAATTTAAATGTTTGTACTTGAAAATAATAGTTCATCCACATAATAGAACACCATATGTTAGGCTTTGTCAGTTTTGCAATACAAAAACAAAGTATTTATGGTCGTAGAATTCTTTTTATCTGATTCCTTCCTGGAAACTCATCTAATAGTTACATTGCTTTATGACTATGTATAGTTATTTGAAAGGTAATGAATATTATAATGAAGCTTTAAAATCAATTATGGAGTAATTTATGAATTAATTCAAGCCCAGGCTTTATTGTAGAACTTAAATATACAGGGCCCAAAAAGAAGTATATTGTATACATTTTTGTACTTTTGTACTATATATCTTCTTTGTTTCAGTAAGCTATTTAAAGTGCCAATAGTGACCTCATGTTTATGAGTGATGAGTTGCCCATAAACATCTCATTTCGACAGTTCATCTTTCATTAAAACAAACTATTCTTTTCCCTTTTCTCTCAACCAGAAAAATGGAGCATTTATTTTATCAAACAGTTCCCAAGATCAGTATACCAAGTTTTCCCCAATTCTTGTTACAATCTCTTGCACTAAATTTAATTCTTTTAATTTTAGATGTTGACATATCACTTCTGATTTCTTTTAACAAAATGAAAAAATTAACCACTGACAGAAAATTGATAGCACGAGCAGTTAAAAGTTCATCTGTTGTAGAAGTGAGTATGAAAACTGGTTTTTATTCTGTAAGGCCAAAAGGAGGAAATATTTGGAATAGATTTTTAATTTAATTTTATACCTTATAGTTGGATTTAGAAGGAACCAGGATCAGAAGGCAGCAACCTTTGGGTGATCAGCCAAAAGATGTGGATAATCGTACTGTATATGTGGTAAGATAGCGCCTATTTCCTTTCACTTTTTACTTTTAATATTTCCTTAGAAACATTAAACATTAAACATTAAATATTCCAATAGTTTTTGTATAAGTAGAATTTTAAAACACCTTTAGCTAGCCAAGTGCCCTTGTTTAGAACTTCAGCCAGTTGGCACAATATTTTTGGATCTCTTTAACACAACAATAAACATTGTCCAGTATAAGTCAGGAGAGCCTTGGTTTGCCAGCTCCTTCTGTTTCCTTTTAAGCAAAATCCTCAGTTTCTGAGTGCTGTGGAAACTATATTTTTCTGTAGATAAGTGGCAATTGGATAAGAGTTTGTCTGAGAGAACAAACAGGATTCATGGAGAAAGATTTCTCTTTCCTTAATCCCTTCTCTTAATCCTGTGAGAATGGGGTAGGGAGCAGTCAATCCATTGAATGAAGCCAAAACTGGTACTTCTTCCACTAGCACAACTGTGCAATAATTTCATTTTAATTAGGTTACGTAAACTTAAGCTATAGTTAGTATTAACTGTGGAAATATCAGCTTTATACTATGTGTGTATTTTTATCACTTTTATCCTATTATCTTCTGTTACCACTTTTTTTTTAGTACTATCACTTTTTCCACTTACAACTCATCAGTTGGGTTAGAGCCGTGGTGGCGAACCTATGGCACGCGTGCCACAGGCAGCATGCAGAGCCCGCCCCAGTCCTAGGCCTTCAGTCCCGTCCATGAGCAACCTGCATCAATACCCGCGTAGGGTAAGGTTGCCACGCCCACCCCCGCCTCCCCAAGCGTTTTTTACTAACCTGCCTTTCAGCTGCATTCCGTTTCTCCGTTTGCTTCTCAGCCTTCACCACGTGTTTGTGGGACTATCGGTAAAAAAAAAAGTTCTATCAGACTTTCTAACTTCTCACGAGATCTCAAGAAGTTAGAAAGTCTGATGGAACTTTTTTTTTTACCGATAGTCCCACAAACATGCGGCGAAGGCTGAGAAGCGAACGGAGAAATGGAATGCAGCTGAAAGAGTAAAAAAAAAACGCTTAGGGGAGGCGAGGGCATTTGGGCGGGGGCAAGTGCACAACCTTGTCCTGCATGGTGGTGGGAGAGTGGGACGCATGCCCTTCCCATGCCAGGTCAGCCTCCGGGCGGCCGTGCTGGGCGGCGGTGGGCAGGGTTTTGAGGTGGGGGCCAGCAGGCTGACCAAAGCAGCAGGTGGAGCGCCGGAGGCTCAGGGAAGGAAGGCGCTGAAGTGGGCAGTTGGGCCATTGGTAAGAGCAACGCGTCTGAACGGAAAGTGGTCTTGGAACAAGTGGGGCAGGTAAGGAAAGAAATCCTCGCTCCCCCCAGAAATTGCCTTTCTTTCCTTACCTGACTTCCAGCCCTGTGCCATTTCTTCTTCACAATCCACTGCTGCCGTGTGCAAGGAAACAAAGATTTTTTTGGAGGGGGAAAAAGGTCAATCAATCAATTCCAACTTCTCGTGAAAGATCGCAAAGTCTAACTTTTCTATTTACAGTTTTATACCTGAATGAGAAACTGCAACTCATTCTAGAAGACTTTCAGTTGCAACCATCTAAAGCCAATTATAGATTTATATATATTCAGGCACTCTAATAGTTTATGGGTACACTATTATGGGACAGTGTCGGAAGTAGGACAATTTCTTCTGCATCAAGAAATATTATAGTTTTGGTAGAAACATTTAGCATGCATATTTTATGGCATATGGTTATATTAATAAAGGTAATTCCCAACGTTTTACTTGGGATTTTTTGTACATAGGGCAAAAGATTACTTATATTGTCAAATACAGAATCATAAGGCATTGCTGCCACCCTACTACTGAGCATTCCTATACGTGTGTGAAGGTATTTTTCTGCCAAAATTGGTTATAAACAATAGATATCATATTTATTTGTGATACTTCTGGGTTTCCACATCACTTAATTGCTAGTTTTAATTATAAAATATTAGTATAATGATTCGTGCATAAATGTGCAAACAAAGTTGGTGTTTTTTGTGTGCATATGTATATAAAAATGTAGTTTTATTTCTGTTGTAACTCTTTTGATGTAGGAATTGCTTCCTAAAAATGTCAATCACAGTTGGATTGAACGAGTATTTGGAAAATGTGGCAACGTAGTTTATGTCAGCATTCCTCGCTATAAGACCTCCAAAGACCCTAAAGGATTTGCATTTGTGGAATTTGAAACAAAAGAACAAGCTGAAAAAGCTATAGAGGTGACTTATAAACAATTGAAAACATTGTTTTGTTCTTAATTTGTTTATACAATTCTAGCTTTTATAAAACTACTGTTTTTATAAAACCTTTTGTAGTGTAATAATAATAATAGTAGTAGTAGTAGTAGTAGTAATAAAGTTGGAAGGGACCTTGGAGGTCATCGAGTCCAACCCCCTGCTCAGGCAGGAACCCTACACGATTTCAGACAAATGGCTGTCCAGTCTCTTCTTAAAAACTTCCAGTGTTGGAGCATTCACCGCTTCTGGAGGCAGGTTGTTCCATTGGTTAATTGTTCTGTCAGGAAGTTTCTCCTTAGTTCTAAGTTGCTTCTCTCCTTGATCAGTTTCCATCTGTTGCTTCTCGTCTTTCACTGGTTAAAATTTTTGTAGCTGCAATGTCAATCTTTTCAGTCTTTCAGTGTGATTTTTTCAGTCACTGACTCACACTGCAGTTGACCTTGAAAATACAGAATTTGTTATCTGAGGGAAGATACCGTTCTCTACTGAAAATGTCTTAATAGTATCAATTAAACATTTAGAACTCTAAAAAATACCTTATGAATGTTAAACAGTTTCCTGTTCCTGGCACTGGCACTATAGAACTGTCAATCCTTCAGCAATCCTTGCTGTTAAGAGGCCTGCATATCTTATCTGATGCTTCAGAAAGCTTCTGAAGCCCCACCAGGACTGGTTTCAAGGTGGCTTCAGGAAAAAAAGGCCTGGTACAACTGGGAGCTGTGTAAGATAAGCTCTGCAGACCTCTCAACAGTAGGAAAAAAATGTCTGAAGGTAAGTGACATGTGGCAGATCCTTGGAAGTGACGGGGGTGGGGGGCAGTCTTGCCATTCTCCAAGGCTGGTGAGCCTTATGAAAAGGTGCAACTGGTATTTTTGAGGGATAGTGGGGTTGCTAGGACTGATGTCATGGCCTGGAGTGGTCGCAGCTGGCTGACTCTGCTGACACTCCTGAGCTTCTATTTCAGGGCCAGGTCTGGTACTGTGGTTGAGTGCTGCTGTGCCAAATAGCTTAGGTGCAGGGGGGAGTTCCAGCACCCCTGTGGTTGCAAGGGATGGCACATTGCCGAATGCCTGAATTTTGATTGTGACCATGGTGGCACTGCAACTTTCATAATTTCAGGCATAGGTTGTAGCTCCCTTCAGTGCCATCATAATCTGAAATGGTTACTGAACAAATGATCGTTAAGCGAGGACTATGTATATTGCATCATAGATTATGTGTTTAAATAGATAATAACTGACTTTTGCATTTTTAGTTCTTGAATAATCCACCAGAAGACGCTCCAAGAAAACCTGGTATGTTTCCCAAAACAGTAAAAAACAAAGTTGTTCTCACATTACCTACAAGTGATTCTGCCATAATTGGTGAGTATTAACTTGATACGTTTAGTTTTGTCTGTAGATTTTGTTATACTCCTTAATCTTCATCAAGTAAGGGAGCTGTGAAAAATCATGGGAGGAAAAGATGACATTTGGAATATCTTAGCCTCCTGAGGTGATATTGGCTCCCACCCTCCTATCTTTTTGTAAGAGCCTTAAAATCTGGTTCTGCCAGATGGTTCGGGGTCTCAATGGGGGAGTTTCACACTGGAGGTGGTTGACTAATTAAAAGCTAATCCCCCCTCCCATATAACCAGCTCCCTCTTTTTCCATCTTGTATTAATGATTTTATTTTGTCTGTTCTGTTATTTTATATTTGATGATTTTAATGTTTATTATACTGTTGAACTTCTGATGGGTGGCAAATAAATTTAATAAATAAATAGCCATAAACATCTCTGTGGAAGAGATGTTTATGGAAGCAAAGAGGGCAAAAAGGTAATTTATTCAGACTATTGAGATAAATGTTCTTATTTTGCGTAGAAGAAAAAAAGAAGAAGAAAAAGAAAAAATCTAAAACAAAGAAGGAAAACAGCCAGCAGTCAAATACTGGAGCAAAAGATGTATACATGGCCAGTTTTACAGAATGCACCAAAAGTCATAGGACGATATCAGAGAGTTCTGAAACAGAATTGTCAGAAATCCAACGACACTCTTCAAAGAAAGAAAAGAAGAAGCTTGATAAAACACAAAGCTCAGGCCTAGGAGAAACTAGATCAGGAAAGAGGAAACGGAATCGCTCTGATGATGGAGAGATGTCAATTGTAAAAGTGAAGAAAATTTCTCAGAAAGATAATGTTCACTCTGCAAAGGAGCTATCAGCAGGGCTGGAGGATTCCAAAGGTAGTTTTATATTACTAATTTTTCCTATTGATTTCCTAATCATGAATACACTACAATATAGAATTATATTGCATATGAGAGAAACAAACTGACCTGAACTCCTTGCAAGCTATTTATAGTAACTTTAATCCATTTTTATTTAGAAATTTCTACTGAAGAAGAGAGAGAGATTGGTGATAAGAAAGAAACCTCTCTTTCAAAGTCTAAAAGAAAACACAAGAAGAAACATAAAGAGAGGCATAAGATGGGAGAAGAAGTTATTCCACTGAGAGTTCTCTCAAAGTATGTTAAAATATATTCAATTTGTTTGCCATATTACAGAACAGTAGCTTGTATTTTTACTGCTTCTGATGAAATGATGGTATGTTTGCCTACATTGTTGACAGGAAGGTGGGATAACAAGTGTTAAAGACTTGTTAATTAATTAATAATGTTATTTTTTTCCTGATTGAATTAATGATTTGTAAAATGTTAGTGTCATAGATAGCCAAGCAACCGTAAACATTTAATCTGTTTAACTTCCTGTAGTTCTTCTCCCATAAAATTTCTCATATACTTGTCAGTAATCTATTTTTATTGAACATTTTTCTTTTTAACTACTGTAAATGCTCATTTGATTTTTAAATGTATATTAAGAAAGTATTTTGGTAGCTAAGGAGAACTTGATAACGTAAATATAAATTTCTCTTTCCTCTACTGCAAATTGTGTCATGTGCAATATAGTTCATTGTGTTACAAGAAAAGAAAATTGATTATAATAAATAAAATATAGTTCAGGAACCCCTCCTTGAATGGTATTTTTTTCAATCTAGAAAATACCTGCAATTCAGAAATCACTTATTTGTTCTTTAATCAATAATAGTAAATAAAAAATGGACTACTGATTAGGGATGGTAATTGGGATCACTTAGTGACGGCAATCCTAACACTTCCCCTTGCCATTGTTAAGGAGGATTGTGGGTTGCTAAGCATGTCCCAAGTGTCTCACAAACAGGCTGGTAGGCAGGTAAAGCACAGAGGGCTGGAGACTGCTGCCAGGTGGGAATGAGTAAACAAGATGAAAGATGGTGCAAGTGGGGGAAGGTGCAAGTGACTTACCAGAGTGATTTGCAACCTTCCTTGCTGGCTTCCCCATTTATTTTGGTCATGGGAAGCCAGCAGAGAAGGTTACAAATTGCAATTATGTGACTGTGGGACACGGCAGCCCTCATAAGTATGAGCCAGTTGCCAAGTGCCCAGATCGTGATCAGGTGACTATGGGGATGCTGAGATGGCCAGAGCTTCAAGGACCTGTACTACTTGTTTAGCACTATAGCAATTTTTAACAGTCACTGAATGAGGACTACCTGTATTCAAGCTTTGATCTCCTGATCTCTAGAACTTTTATACAGTATTTAAGTTTTCTTAAACAGTTAATGCATAACTAATCTTTGTGTAGAGGCATTAAAATATGTACAGTTGCTTGTGTTTTCAAGGTCAATCCAAAATCTATCTAGCCTGGCATTCCTAGAAAGACTCCTAGCAACTAATGGATATTAGGCGACTCTCTAGAAACTGAACAATGTATTTTTTAGTATTTTAGAAACAAATTGAAAAGAATTATGTAATAGGTGACACAGAATTCTGATAAATAGACCAGTTTTCTCAACTATATAAGCTTTCAGTAAATTCAGGTTTCTTCAAATAAACGAAATGTTCTATCATATTAAAAAATAGGAACCTTTCATCCCTGTATACAAAGGAAATTCCATTCTTTTTACATTTATCGTTTTGTTTCCCATCATTTCCAACCTTTGTGTTACCATTTTTCAATCTCCATTCTGTAGGAATGAATGGATGCAGCTGAAGCAAGAGTATTTGTCCCTGCAGAAAGCCAGCATGTCATCTCTGAAAAAAGCAATGACCAAAGCAAACACAGTGACTGTTGGAACAATGAAAAGAGATGTCTGTATGGCAGATGATTCTGCAACAAGAAATGGCAAATGTAAATATAATTGTGAATTTCTTGTGTTTCTTTTTAAGGTCAAGAGCTTATGGTTTAAGAGGATGAGAAACATGTGAATTTAATCTTAAAATTATATTACAAAATTGTTTTATTTTAATAAAATAACACCGACTTCCATCGAGTGAAGATAGATTTTTGGATATGGAGTACTTATTCATCTTAGGACCTTCTGACAAATGATGTTCACATTGCATAGAAAATCAACCAGTGCAATCTCTACCTTCGCTGGAGGTGAGAATCGCTCCCACCCTCTTGGCCGTCCAAAAGGGACTCAGAACCTGGCTCTGAGGTCCCTGTGGAGGAATTTCATGCTGAAGGAAGGGGAGAGGAATCCCACTTCCATTCTGCTCAAATACTGGTTCCTAGTTTACTCATTTTTTGTTAATTTTAAGGTTTTGATGTTTGTAATATTTTAATCTTTTTATATTTGGGTTTTTGTGATATAAGCCACATAAGCGTATGAATTAAATAAATAAAACAGAAAAATATGTATTTCCTGATAGAACAGGAAAGATTTCATGTAATTGCAAAAGGGGGGTTTCCAGTGGTTCTACTAGTGAGGAGTGGAATCCATTGTAATCTACCACAACTGCTGGGTGTCAATCACTGTTGACTACTTTATGGCTTGGAATTGTCCATTCTCCCCTTCCCCAAAGGATAAATTATTTGGTGAGTTTCGCTTTCTGTACTTCCAGGATTTTCAGGAAATACTAATTGTCTTTATAAATACATTTCTCTGATTTGCTTCACCAACTATAAATCTTGCTTTAGTTATCACATGGTTTTTGTATTTTTTTAAACCAAAATTCCTGGTGAACAGGCTAGAAAGATAACATAAACCAACATTCTAATCTAATGCATTTGTAAATGTTCGGGAAGACAGTAGAGGGAGATACTGATGTTTTACATGAGTTTCTTTCTATTCACACAAATATTGCTAAACTACAGTTGGCAATATTTGTCTGCAATCTTATATATGTTTTGAAATCAATTAGCAAGGTGTTACCTATGCCTCAGTAGAAATCATTAGAAATTAGAAATCATTAGAAAGTGACTATTTTAAGCACTATAGAAGACATCTAGAAAGTATACAGTTTTGTCTGTATTTTCCTTTAAGTAGCGTGGATAGTTTATTATTTACAACTTGTCTTTTGCTTGTTGAACCCTAGTAATCATTTAAATTAAAAGATTCCCCTATTGGTTAAGTTGGTTTGATTGTCTCCTTTTATTACAATGTGTTGTAGATGAAAGAACTTGGAGCTCTGTTATGATAATGAAAACAAATTCTTAGATTGAGCATATACTCATAAATCCTCCATTTCTCTCTCTCTTTCTATATATATTTCACAATGTATAACTCAGGGGTAGGCAACCTTGGCTCTTTTATAACTCGTGGACTTCAATTCCCAGAATTCTTGAGCCAGCCATGCTGGCTCAGGAATTCTGGGAGTTGAAGTCCACAAGTCATAAAAGAGCCAAGGTTGCCTGCCCCTGGTATAACTATTTTTTCATTTGGATGCAGTTGATAGAGTTTGCAGTTCTAGAAGGGGAAAATGACACTTTATGAGACTTTCCACTTTCCAGTCCACTTTCAAGTAATTAAAATCTGAAATTTGTGTTGTATTCTTAGTGGTCTCTTTATATATTGATTACACAGATACTTTTTTAACTTGATTCTCTGGCAATTTAATTGAGAAGAATCAAATTTATCTGTAGTTATTTATCATTCAGAAAAGGCTGAAGGTCTCTCACAGATATCTTTCCAGAATCAATTAAATTTTAAAAGTTAAAATTTGCTAAATTAATAATGTTAGTAAACTTTTTTGTCAAGATATTTTTTGGTAATAATGCATGTGGAGTCTCTTAAAAATAAGATTATGATTACATACATGTTATCGAATTCAAAATATTTGATTAAAGTATGTATTTAGTATAATAGAATTTAGAATTCTTTTAAGTATTAAGTATTAGGTGATCTGTGTATGCCAAACCGTAACAAGAAACATAATTAAGTCTAGCAATACTATTCCATTTCATATATGAAATCATACGTTTATTTATTGCGAGATCAAATTAAGAATTTCCATTGATGTTCTTTTTCAAATTAACAGGTATCGGCAATAATGATTTAGCTCCTGTTGAGAAGATTCATCCAATGGGACCTCAGTTTGAAAGTGGAGTGATTGTGAAAATCCTTAGCACTGATCCACTGCCAGGCAGGAAGCACATCAAGGTGATGCTTTGGTGCTCTTAGAGAAGCAATTATCATTTTCTTGGAATATCTATCTATCTATTTATTTTATTTATTTATTTATTTATTTTTCATATTTCTGACCTGCCTTTCTCCTGGAGAGAGGACTGTGATTATGACTTTGAATAAAGTCTGATTGTAAGCTACTGTAGTGATGCACATGATTTAAATAGCAATATCAATAGCACTTAGACTTGCTTCACATTTTGTAATCAAATTATTTATTGAATTGTTTTATTGTGATGTTACAGTGGCAAGTTGAATTGGCAAAAAGCATAAAAATGAAAAGTTTACTGGCTGTAGGAGAAGTAGTGGCAGAGTCTGGGGGGGGGTGGAGTCAAAAGAGGAATCAGCCTAGAATCTCCATATTTCCACAAGTGGACTAAGTCCAACCCTTCTTGAATTCTATTAGCCCTTATCCAGCACCAAAATAGTGCTAACCATTAGTTGACTAGATTCCTGTCCATAGGCGTGACCAACAAATCAGTTTAACTGGAAGTTAACATGTAGCCCTGGTCTTTCATGCTGGACATTGATTAGAACTGCGTAACTTGAAAATCTGTGTCCTAATCAATTGGATTTTAGAGAGCTACAACACTGTAAGACAGAGGTAGAGATGGGGAGTAAAGGAGGTAAAGATATATTTCACAAAGATAAAGACATAAACAGAATTCTTACTCATTTCTTGAGCATTATCATATTGCATTTAATTATATTTTTCTAAATTTGCAGCATTTGCTTATTTTTCTCTTTCTACGTTTTTTGTCTCCACTGTGTGATTAAAAATATTTTTATTTTCCTGCCTCTCTCTTCTTAAAAAGTACATAGGTTAAGAAGAGATTGTAATATAATGTATTTTCTATGGTGCATCCATTTCATCATAGGACATGCTGATAACACTAGCTGATGTTGCTTATGTTGATCTGCTGGAAGGAGATACAGAATGTCATGTACGGCTTAAAACACCTGGAGAGGCACAAATTTTAATAAACTCACATAAAGATCTACAAGCAAAGAACAACTGGAAACTTGAGATTCTTACAGGTGAGGTTTATACATTTTACATTTATGTGGTGTGCACATGTTATATCAATTTTGGGAATATTTTAACACTCGTTCAGTATTATGACTGTATTCTGGTATTTTTTCCCCATAATTTTTTCCCCAAATCTAACTGATATCACTTCTATGTTTGGGTCTGGAACTTAAACCATGTATTTCTATTTGTTAAAAAGAGAATCACTGTTAATAGGGATTACAATTTGTCTAGAATGCTAGTTGCTAAATACAGGTAGTCCTCGACTTATAACAGTTCGTTTAGTGACCGTTCAAAATTACAACACCATTGAAAAAAGTGACTTATGACCATTTTTCATAGTTACGACCTTTCCAGCATCCCCACGGTTCACATGATCAAAATTCAGTTGCTTGGCAACTGAGTCATATTTATGACCATTGCTTGCCTCAAGGTCATGTAATCACCTTTTGTGACCTTCTGACAAGCAAAGTTAATGGGGAAGCCAGATTCACTTAACAAGTGGGTTACTAACTTAATCACAGTGATTCACTTAACAACTGAGTCAAAAAAGATCATAAAATGGGGCAAAATTCACTTAACAAATGTCTCAGCAATAGAAATTTTGGGCTCAATTGTGGTCATAAGTCGAAGACTAACTGTGCACACTTTTAAATTAGGATGATGGAGAGCAGTCCAGTAGTATATAAAAAAATGAGCTGATTAAGAATGCTGTGTTCCTTATTCCCTCATTATAGTTTTTTCTCTGACCCTTCAAAGTATTACATAACAAGTAAAAATTCTTTCCCCTGCTTTCCTTTAATTTTTAGCTCTTGGTTTCAAAATGCTAATATCCATGCATATGTTAGTAACACATGTGCAAAAGTGGAGTTGTTCAATAAATGATTTCTGATGGAAGGGACTAAAATAATTAGAGATTTCATTTATCTTTTATAATTGTGACTTTTCAAATTTATATACAGTATGTATTGTATTTTATCTCCCTCTTAGTCATATTTCCACAAGTGTAAAATCAGGAACAGGTTTTGAGTTCTTATATTTGATCTTCGCTTCTTCCTCCACTCTTTTTGGTAGGATTTTAAGACAGTATTTATACTAAGAGTTCTTACTAAAAATAAAATATTTTTATTTATTCATGCAGTACAGAGTCAGCACAAAACAAATAAAAAGAAAGAAGATGCATGTTGTATAATTTGAAAAGAATTGCAGTCTTTTTTTGCATAAAATGTTTTCTTTTTAAGAATTAAACTATAGATGTCAGTCATTTTCACCCAAGTAGGAATAAATAGGGAAAATGGCTGTACATCACAGTTTTACTTCCGAAGTCTCATGTCTAATGATTTTTATTATATGTGCGTAAGGTAGAGATTTAAAAATGGGTTTATCAGGAGTACCGCTTATGCATAGGACTTTATGTGCTTTTGGATTAACATGTTTTCTGCTCATGTCTCCCACCATAGTTTAGTCCTGTTATTCATGTGTGCGGATTTCTGTATTGTTCTAGATGTGATAAGAACATCTTTCTAATTTAAGAATAATAATGTATTGACATGGCACGTTAAGTAAAATTGTGTACTTTGGATCAATACTTTTGTATTAAGGTGATCATGAACAAAGATACTGGCAGAAGATCTTGGTGGACCGACAAGCTAAACTGAATCAACCTAGAGAAAAGAAGCGGGGCACAGAAAAAGTAAGATAAATAATCTGGAACTTCTAATTCATACACAGATGTTAATAAAATCCCAGGTTTCATTCTTTCAATGGGAGATGCACAAATTCAGTTGCACTGAGACTTTTGAGACCTAATGCCAGTCAGAATAAACCCTTGTGAGCTAGACATAAATGATCCATCTATCACTATTAGAACTACTGATCAATATAAAGCAGCTTAAATTTTTTAAGATACTTCAATGGTTCTATAGTAAAATTATGTGCCATCTCAAAGGCAAACAAATTTGCTACAGCACAGATTTTCCATCATCACATTCTGCTGTAAAATGTAGTATTGTAGTAATACATTTGTTAGTCTTTAATATATCTCGACTTCTTTTTGTTGAGGAATATAGGACAAACTATACTAACACCAGTCCAATAACTGAAACAAAAAAACTTTATTGAGGTCATTAAACAGGACAAGGGAATTGGTATTCAAATATCCAAACTAAATTGATTATATCAAGGTAAAAGAATTTTGGCTAAAAAGCAGTATTAACTAGTCTAATATTAATATAGGTATTCCTTGGTTAACAATTACTTTGTAAAACCAGTCCTCCAGGTTGTGGCATCCTAGCACCCTTACAATCATATGATAGCAATCTGGGTACCCGGTAACCAGCTTGCAATTACAACAGTTACAATGTTCCACAGTCACATGGTCATCATTTGCAACCTCCCCTGCTGGTTTCCAGAAGCAAAGTCAATGTATAAAATGGCAGAGAAGATCACAAATTGCCCTGGTATCCTCCATACAAAAGCCACACACACCACACACACTGTGCATCCCTGCATCTCAACAACCATTTGCATACCCTCCCTGTACCTTCACTGTGTGGTAGCCACACATATCTAGCCTTTCTTGTACACGCTCTCTGAACCTCATGTTCACATTGTGCCTACCTGACTTTCCTCCTTCCCAACTGTCACTGCACTCGTGTTATATTTTGTTGGCCAACCACATACCATCTCCTATGTGATAGCAGCTACTTACTTGCTGGATAGCCTGCTTGCAAGCTGCCTTCCCCACTGTCTTTAGTTGTTGGAAGCTGGCAGAAAGTTACAAACCGGTCCTTAGAAAGTTACAAATAGGCCCTTATTAATGACCCCAACGTGACCCCAACGATAGCATTGGGGACTGCAGGGATTGCCATCATGAAATGTTGTGGGCACCTGGTATCATGTTTTGCGGCCGCATCGCTTAGCAATAGAATTATAGAGAATTCTAATGTTAGCCAGAAACTTATGGATGATTTGGATCTAAAAGTAAAGCCTAACTGTTAATTTTCTGTTAAAAATGCTATAAGTACTACGTTAGAATTAGTACATTTTAAAATATATTTTCAAAGCTATGTATAATCATGAAACTCAAAGATACGAAGAAGCCTGCACCCTACTTGCTATTCAAATTACATTTTGAATATATGCAACTACTATCATTTAGATATCGGGGTCTTTTTGATACTGTGTTTTGTGCTGTTAATTCTTGTAAATTTTGCATAAACATGGACCACTTTAATTGGCTAAAATTGAATTCTTAAATGCAGTAGGTAGGTGGATTTACAATGACTTCAGTATGGAATCTACTCAGGAAAATTAGACTTTTGTTTCTATTTTCTACCTCGATATGAAATGAAAGAAATGTTTTTATCTTCTGTTGCTATTCAGTGAAATTCATTTATGTCCATTGGAAATAAGTTGCCATTATTCAAATATATTCAGCATTGTTTTCCATGAAATTACATAACTAATTTAAAGGCAATACTTCTGAATTTATGGGAAATGGTGTAAACAATTTTGCCTAAAATTAAGCAATTCTAATAAATTAATGTGAATGATTAATTGCCAGTGCCCTCTTTCAGTGATAAAAAATAATCTCAAAATATTCATTTGAAATAAACTATTTAATATTAATAATATTATTTGACTCTTTGTTTGATTTCAGAGGAGTAATTTGGAAAGGTTTATAATTCATCTGTATATTTATCTGTATATTTTTTGTATATTTTTATACAGAAAAATTATCTGTATAATTTTATATAAATACAGATAAATACCTCTATAAATATATATGTATAATTATATAACTATCTGTATAATTTTCTTTGCTTTATAAAGTTTCTATTGAATATCAGAAGTTTTATTCAATTTTTAACATGCATGACCTCAATTTCCTGCCTTCTAACCTATCATTATTAAAGTAACAAAACCCATTAAGGTTCTTAATACCCTTATATTAAATAAAATTGTTATATTGCTGCTGGTAGCTGAATTGCCTTTTCCTTTTCACTCTATTGGGAATAGACTTAAGTGCTTGTGGAAACCAAGACTTATCAATAAACTAGCATTTTATTGGAGATTATTAGCACTCTTCAGTTTCAGTTTTTTTAATGCTTGCCCAATTACCAAATGTAGATTTGGGGGATATGTAAAAAGAGAAATTAAAACTTTATCTTAAAAAAAAAAAGTCTTTATTTTCATAGTATAGTATCTAAATCACAATCCCATCATTGATTAAATTTCAAAGTATAGACTGTTCTGTTAAGAAAAAAATATTTGAGACTGCACCATCCAGAACTCCTCAGTCCTTATGGAAATTGCTAAGAGCCTCTGCACTGGAGACAAATTCCTTGTGTGTCTGATCACACTTGGCCAAATAGGGTATTCTAAACTGTAGTGAACTAATTGGGACTAAATAAATGAGGTTTGAATCCCCATTCCATCATATTGCTCATAAGGTTTTCTCATTTAGTAAATCCATATGGCCCACTAAGTTTCTGCAAATCTTTTAAAAAATATTTGAGGATAAAATTAATGATTAAGTAGCTCAACCTTTTAAAGGATTTTGTTAAGTTGGAGGTACATCTGAAGAGCAATACAGTCAAATGCATAAAATTGCCAAAAGTTAGTTTATAACTCATTAATATCAAGGAAATTAAAATTTTCTGCAGGTAATAGGGCTGTTCTTGTCCAAAATAAAATATAATTTTTAAAGATTTTTTGTCACAAATGATAGTTTTATTGATAACTTTCATATTTTCTGAAAATGGTAATACAGTATGTATTTTTTTCTTTAATAGCTGATAGCAAAAGCGGAAAAAATGAGACTGGCAAAGACTCAAGAGATAAGCAAGCATATCCGTTTCTCTGAGGATGAGTAAATTATGACTTACATGAAATGCTTATGAAGAGAGGAAATAAACTTATGACAAAGTATCTCATTGTTTCATAATGCAATCAGACAAATAAAATTGTGCTGAATTTGATAAAATGGAATACTACTTGAGCCTGTTATGGAAGAAATACATTGAACAAGCTCTTGTATGTATTTTTGCACAAATATTTAGTACTCTGAATTTGTATAAGCTGTTGTAAGAATGAAATAAAAAACTGAAACATTGTTTCTTAAAATAAATGGGAATGAGAGATCCTAAAATTCATTCTAAACGACTGCTAAAAGTAGAAATTTTTCTTGCTTTCTGATGAGGGGGAAGAGGAGAAATTAGTGACGCAGGTATTGCCGTGTACTCTATTAAAGAAAACCTAAATTATAGAATCAAAATTAAGTTTTATATCATCAGTCTTATTACACTTGCAGTATCAAAATTACTTGCACTAGATCAGGGGTAGGCAACCTTGGGTCTTTTATGACTCGTGGACTTCAACTCCCAGAATTCCTGAGCCAGCATGGCTGGCTCAGGAATTCTGGGAGTTGAAGTCCACGAGTCATAAAAGAGCCAAGGTTGCCTACCCCTGCACTAGATTAAGAAGTATGGGTTTAGCACCATATTTTCTGTTTGTAACCCAAAATAATTCTTCAGTATTGGTATATAATAAAGGAGCCTGTGAAGCTCTATTTCATAATAAGCAAAGAATATTTAGTAATTATTATGGCCCCTGTTAGTCATCTCTCACAAATTTTCCACCAGTCCTCTGGAGCAGTTTCGTTCAATCACAAGAAATACACAAAAGAGAATTTGCATAAAAGAGCATTCTATCCTCTTTCTTGTGAACAAGGAAGAAAATCTTTTTTTCTGGCTCCAATCCAAAGATATATACTTTTACTTTTCCAGTGGCATACCCATCTACTCATATACTAACTATGACAGGATAGTTTGTAGATATGAATGATATAATCACCATTATTTCTCATGACCTTTGAGAAATATTTTCAAACACACTAAGACTGGTATTTTGCCATATTGCATAGCCCCATCTTGCTGGACTCAGTCCAGATGGCTTGGATCTTACCTTTCTTATCTGTTATTTTTTATCTGGTATGACATTAACTTCTTAAGAATCTATCAGAATGATGTACATACAGTCCAGTTTCATTTAAGCTCTCAGAAAGGAATATACAGATGTTCCATTATGTCATGCTCCCATTAAAGGATTTACGATATTTCATTGCTTCCCTTAGTAGCTGAGAATTCTCTATTTTTGCACACCAGATACAGATAGTCCTCAACCTATGACCCCAAGTGAGCCGAAAATTTCTGTTGCTAAGCAAGACAATTGTTAAGTGAGCTTTGCCCCATTTTATGACCTTTCTTGCTACAGTTGTTAAGTGAATCACTGCAGTTAAGTTAGTAACACTGTTAAGTGAATTTGGTTCCCCATTGACTTTGCTTGTCACAAGTTCGCAAAAGGTAATCCCATGACCCCCAGGACATTGCAACTGTCATAAATATGAGTCATTTGTCATGCATCTGAGTTTTGATCACATGACTATGGGGATGCTGCAGTGGTCATAAGTGTGAAAAACAATCATGTCACTTTTTTCAGTGCCGTTGTAACTTCAAACGATCAAACTGTAAGTCGAGGACTACCTGTACGGTGTTTTCATTTTAACTTCATAAGTCTTTTTTCTGTAAGTTCTTGTGATGCTTCAACCAAACCCCCCCAAATGCTTTTTCTTGCTTTAAATTTTGTATGTATTTTCTATCAGAACAATAAGAAAAGAAGACATGTTCTAATAATCCACTATTGATCCAAGGAAAATGTATGCAAAACAATTTAGAAACTAATTTAGTTTCTCAACTATTGACATTCTGATATTTATCAGCAACATAAGCAACAAGTAGCTCCATGTGTTTTAAAAGTTAAAAGTAGCTCACTAACAGGACTAGCTCATTATGGAAAATTTAGCTGTTAAATTGTGCACATTCCAAAGCTATCAATAGACAGCTTCTTCCTCCATTTACTTTTATTGACTGGTCTGATACTAGAATATATTGTATATCCATTCTTTCCAAGGAAGGCGCAATTGACATACTCTTGATTAAAAAGAGATTCCTAATTTTTGAACAAAAATTATATATGCACTGAGACTGTGGAAATTGTTATAGCAAAGAAAATGTATGATATTTATTTTCTATTCATTTTGTTACTTCACACAGTATTTTATGTATGAAGGTATTTCTTACAGTAAAATATTGTAAGAATGTGAAGGTAACCATTTTTACTTTATATCTGGACATAAAGCTGCTACACAATATGTGGAAAAACGTTTAAGTCCTTTGTCAGGAATAAGTTAAGAAACAAGTTTTGGATTTGGTGCAGACAATGCAAATACTAATTTTGGTGCTAAACTAATGGCAGGAAAAAATAATTCTTTCTGCAGATTAAAAGAAACAGGCCCTAATATCCGCGTCCTTACTAGTCCCTGGTTCCCACAGACGCAAAAAGAGGATGACAAGGTGACTGGCAAACAGGAACGGTCTGACAAGCAGTTTATTCCGACAAGCAAAGTCAGCGCTGGGATTGATCTCCCAGCGCTTTACATACATTCCCTTCCCACAACTCCACCCCCCGTCAGCAGGCCAGCATCCGGTGCCTGTTCCTAAAGACAGCACCGCAAGGCCCTCTCTCCCTTCTGGGCCGCCGTCTAATCCCTGCTGGTTGGCGCCAGTTTCCGTGCCGCGCAGCTGGTTGCCAGAGCCTCTCCGCAGCAGAAGTAGGATCCCCATTCCCCTCCTGAGCACTGACCAGCTGCCATGCTGATGCCGCACAAGGCCGCTCAGCTTATTAGCGGTGCCGGTTGCGAGCTGTGAGGCCGCCCAGCAGTTTGGCGGCATTCTTTGTCAGCGTTGCCGGACCCAGGCCATGAGGTCGCCCAGCCGTCGGGAAGCGGTCCTTGCCGGCATTCCTAGGGCCAAGCTGTGCGGCTGCCCAGCTGTTCGATGGTACCGGTCCTGGGCGCTGGTCCTGGGCTGCGAGGCCTCCGTCTGGCGGCGTTGCTGGAGTCGCGCTGCGGGGTGCACTGCGGCTGGCATTGGTGCCTTCTCCCTCCCACTCCCATGAATGTCGAGCCCACGGGGCTTGACAGGCAGCTCCCTTTACCAGGAGTCCACCTGGAAGGCAAGGAGAAACATGTAAGCGTTCACCTGCTGTGGCGGACGGTTCAGCCGATCCCCCTCCCGGCTTACTGGGACACTGTCAATGGAACTTTTGCAACAAGCGAGGGGCATGGACATTCGCTTCCCCCACCCAGGACGCCTCTAATAGGGTACCCCGTCCACCGCACCAGGTACTGTAGCTGTCCCTGTCAGATCTGGGAGTCCAGGACCTCCTGTATTTCGTACTGGTCTCTGGTGACAGGCTCTGGTACCCCTTTCATGGACCTGCAGGAGGAACCCTCTACTGGTTTCAGTAGGCTACAGTGAAAGACCAGGTGTAACTTCCCCAGGAACCGGGATAGCTGTAACTGTACGGCTACTGGATTGATAATCTGTGTAACCCAAAATGCCCCTAGGTATTTTGGACCCAGCTTCTTACAGGGCACCCTCAGGCGTAGGTACTTCGTTGAGAGCTACACCAGGTGACCCACCCGAAAAGGCTTTTGGGGCCCTATCAGCTTGGCCCTAGGAACGCTGGCAAGGATCGCTTTCTATCAGCGTCCTTACCAGTCCCTGGTTCCCACAGACCTCCCTATCTGGCGGCGTCACTGGAGTCGCGCTATGGGGTGTGCTGCGGCTGGCGTTGGTGCCTTCTCCCCCCTCCCGTGAATGTCGAGCCCATGGGGCTTGACACCTAAAAACTAATTGCAGTGGAGAATGTCATCTATATCGGGTCCCCAACCTATGGGCCGTGGCCTGGTAATGAGCCGCGGGACAGGCTGGCCAGTGCGTGCATGTGTGCACGCACATACACCTCACGTGCTGCAGCTGTGGCACGTGAAAACGCTGCCACCGCGCCTCGGGGAAAACAGGACGACAGTGCTGTGTTGCGGGTGCAAAAACAGACAACGCTGTGCCGCGCAAGAATGGGGCATGGCTAGTGATTATCATGCAAACGCTAGCCCTGTCCCGTTTGCGTCATGTGCGTGCTCATGGCCTCGTGTGTACATTTTATGTGTGCATACGTAAAATGCTTCCCCCTCCCTTTCCCTCCGGTCTGCCATCCTCTGATCTATACTGCCCAGAAACCACTATTGACAGGCTACTCCTTGATACAGAATTGTCTGTTACCAAAACTTACAAGTACTTTATAATATTTTTATCATTAAAACCACATGAGTGAAATAATTTTATAATTTCGTTGATTTGGATTATCAGCAGCTTTCTGTATATGCAAAAATTAATTGGCTTTTTAATGCTTGCAGTGGATACTAAAACTCTTTCTAGCTCTTAGTCTCACAATAATTAGTCCTAGCAACACTTCTTGTGTCACTTGATGATCTTTGTGTTGAAATATGGTTCTGAATAGCCCTTTCTATTTAACAACACAATAAAAGCAACAAAACTTTCTAATTTTGGGACCTTATCCTCCCAGTTATCCTAATCCTAACAATGATGAAAATAATTTAAAAAGCCCTCTACTTCCAGCCATAATTATATAGTTATAGTACTTTGTTATTATGTTAAGCAATCATAACCTTTTCCTGATTTACATTCATTAATGAAATAACAATAGTTAAAAATAGTTCCAGAGCAACAGCATTTCAAAGAATGCTACGATATAGAATTATTTAGCACTAGATGAAATAGTCAATAGATTTTACCAGCTTTCCTGAACTTTCCCGATATACAGCTTCAGTTCTTCTAATTCTCAGCAGTATAGCCAGAATCTAATAGAGGGGTTAGATTATTGCACATAAGGAATGGTAGCAATGACTTTCTATTACTAAACTGCATTAAGTGTTTATTTCAACATACTTCTCCACAGTGCTTTTTTTGTAAAAAAAAAAAAAAAAAAGGTGCCGGAACTCACGC